CTGAACCCCGAACTGAGTTGCGCTTTGAAGCCTGTGACAACGATTTATGAATAGGTTCCCTTATAAGGAAAGAAGCTAGGCCCAAGAGTAGCCTGGGAATACCCTAAACCGGAATACCCTAAACCCTCAACCCTAAACCCTACACCGGGTGTCTTTTGCTTTGAAGGGGCTTATCAGGGAATCTAAACCGCAAGAAAGGGAAGTTAAGAGATATCCCACAGCACAATCTAGTAAATTTGGGATGGTCCCCCTTATCCTAGCAGTCCTTAATAGGGATTCTAGTACCCCAAAAATGTTGCCCCCTTATACTAACAGTTTAACAGTCCGCAATAGGGATTCTAGTACCCCATAAGGGGGGAAAATCGCAGGTTACCCCACAGCGCAACCCAGTAACTCGCCCTAAACCCTAAACCCTAAACCCTAAACCCTAAACCCTAAACCCAGAACCCTAACCCCTAAACCCCAAACCTTAATTCAAGCCGCAACCTAAGACAGAGACTGGTGGCGTGCTTTCGACTTTGTTTTCTCGTTGAGTCTGAGGTCATAGCTACTAGAAACTGTAGACAAGCCAAGTTACAGGAAATCCCAAAGTTCAGGGTTCACTTTTAAGTTCATGGGTACTTATAAGTGGGGTTAGATGCACCCGAAGTAAGATAATCACCATTGCTACCCTACGGACAACCCCACATTAAAGTGCCCAAGAACCCCCAAGTAGGGTTGAGGGCCCAGAGCTCCCTGAACCCTAAACCCTAAACCCTAAACCCTAAACCCTAAACCCTAAGCCCTTTGGGAAGTCGAAGCTGAGTCCGACAATGAGCGCCTGCCCGGGCAGAAGCCGAACCATGTACGACTCCTGCACGTGCGCGCAGGCTTCTGGCTTGGGGTTTAGGGTTTAGGGTTTAGGGTGTAGGGTTTAGGGTTTAGGGTATAGGGTTAGGGTTTAGGGTTTAGGGTTGAGGGTTTAGGGTTTAGGGTTTAGGGTTTTTGAGGTTTTTGGGGTTTGGGGGTTTAAAGGGCTTCTCGGGCTTTATGTAGGGCTTTTGGGGTTTTGGAGCTATAGGGTTTGTATGGTTTATACGGTATACACTGTACGATAGGGCTTACAGGGCTAAAGCTGAGAAACCTTACACCCAAGTTGAGGCCTCCCTAAACCCTAAACCCTAAACCCTAAACCCTAAACCCTAAACCCTAAACCCTAAACCCTAAACCCTAAACCCTAAACCCTTCGGCGTTTGACTGGTAAGGACCCCAAGCGACTCAGCTACTTACAGACACAGAGGAGCTTGCCAGAAGTACGGCACCGAAAAAGGACTCAGGGTTGAGGAAGGCTTAGGCTTCAGCGGGTTTAGGGTTTAGGGTTTAGGGTTTAGGGTTTAGGGTTCAGGGTTTAGGGTTCAGTGTCTAGGCCTTAGGGTCCAGGGTTTAGGGTTTAAGGGGAAATGGCTTGAGGGTTTACAGGATTTGGACTGCGAGTTTGCGTGGAGATCTCTTGCCCAGAGACTCCGATCGCAGAGTGCGGGTAACACCGCGACAAAAGCAAGTCCGCATTGTAACCCTAAACCCGAAACCCTAGACCTGAAACCCCAAACCCTAAACCCTAAACCCTAAACCCTAAACCCTAAACCCTAAACCCTAAACCCTAAACCCAAGGTACCCTAATGCTCCCCACTACTCCCTAAGGCTCCTCAGCTTCCCTATAAGGTTCCCTAGGCATCTTAGGGTTTAGGGTTTAGGGTGTAGGGTTTAGGGTTTAGGGTTTAGGGTTTAGGGTTTAGGGTTTAGAACCCTATAACCGCTGAAAAGGAAGCCGCAAAGGGATCCTAAAGCTTCCCAAGCCCTGAACCCTAAGCCAACATACCCTTTTACCCCAAACCAGCCTAAGTCCTAAGCCGAAAACAACCCTAAACCATTCAAAGCCCTAAACAAGCACCGAAACCCTACATAAGCCAGCCAGAAACCCTAAAACCATCTACTAAGCCCTAAGCCCTCAACCCAAAACCCCAAATCCTAAACCCCCTGAACCCTGCAACGGTACAAGTGTTTTTGGGATCCCAGACATGAAGAAAGGGTTTAGGGTTTAGGGTTTAGGGTTTAGGGTTTAAGGTTTAGGGTTTAGGGTTTAGGGTTCAGGGTTCAGGGTTTACATCAAACGTGCTCGACTTGTCTGGCATTGCGGCACTGTCCTCATCATGCGACCAGCCTGGCAATTTGAGAAAAACAACATCAACAGACATCTGAAGCCCTAAGCCCTGAGCCTATTTGGCCACAATAGTCACAGCAAAGCCATGAGGTCCATTTTCTCGTGAGTTTTGTGAGTTTTTTTTTTTTTTTTTTTGGGGGGGGGGGGGGGGGGGGTTCAGGGTTTAGGTTTAGGGTTTAGGGTTAGGGTTTAGGGGGGCGGGGGGGGGGGGGGGGGGGGGGGTAACCACAGAACCACAGCAAACCCATCACAAAGAACGAGCAACGAAGAATATCTCGGCTCTGGCACGTGGACCGCGCACGCGAGTGCCTTTTCCTGTCTTTGCCTAAGTTCAGTCGCCACAGCGGCAGTATGCAATCCTCCCACCCCAGGCCTGCAGTCTCAAGTATATCATCCTAAACCCTAAACCCTAAACCCTAAACCCTAAACCCTAAACCTCTCAAGTGTATCAGCTCCATAAGCTTGAAGACCTCAAGGCCTGCTTCCCTATGATTACGGGTCCCCCGCTACAAGTCGTGGATGTGAGATGTGGTTTAGGGTTTAGGGTTTAGGGTTTAGGGTTTAGGGTTTAGGGTTTAGGGTTTAGGGTTTAGGGTTTAGGGTTTAGGGTTCATTGACAGGACAGGACGGGCTTTGGAGCTGTGGGGGGGTTTAGGGTTTAGGGCTTAGGGCTTAGGGTTAGGGGCGATCAGTGGACAGGCCTTTACAAACTTCCAACCGCAACTACTTGGAGGTTCATGGTACTTCTTAACCAATCATAACTGTACTTATAACCCACTCATCAGCCCCATAAGTGCCTTAATATGGCCATAAGTACAGTTATAAGTATAAGTACAGTCATAATTGGTGAATAACTACAATGAACCTCCAACTAGGGCCGTGCGGCGCGGAGGGTGATCGGGAGCATTGCTCAGGCATTTGCGCTGCGCTTGCCAGCTCTCATTTTTGAGATGGCTGGAACAGAGCCAAGGCATCTTGCAGCTGCTTCCTAAAGCTTGCTTTTAGGGTTTAGGGTTTAGGGTTTAGGGTTTAGGGTTTAGGGTTTAGGGTGTAGGGGGGGCTGATCTCATGATTTCAGCTGTTACAAGGGGCTTCGACAAGCAGATGCCTCTCATCTCTCCGGCTTGCCAAGAGCCGGTGTCTCTACCCGCGCTGTGCCCACACTCCTGTCGAACTTTAAGCCCTAGACCGTATTTAGGGTTTAGCTATTAGGGTTTAACTCCTGTCGAACTTTAAGCCCTAGACCCTATTTAGGGTTTAGGGTTTAGGGTTTAGGGTTTAGGGTTTAGGGTTTAGGGTGCAGGGTTGGCCCAGTTCTGCGACAAAAGCCGAACAGTTCGACCTTTTTTCGGTCTCACCACGTATCATCGCAGCCCAACGGCTCCAGGCTAGCCATTGGGCCCCTAAACCCTAAACCCTAAACCCTAAACCCTACACCCTAAACCCTAAACCCTAAACCCTAAACCCTATGTGGGGGCACAGCGGTTGTTGTTCAAGTGTTGGTTCGTTGCACTGAGAAGTGGAGATCGCCTCTGAACGCGCTTGATAAATCTCTGAACCCTATAGGGGTTAGGGTTTAGGGTTTGGGGTTTAGGGTTTAGGGCTATGAACTCTACGCCCCAAGCCCTAAACCCTGAACCTACTAAACAAAAGCCTCAAAAGCCAAAAACCCTAAACTTAATCCCTGTTCCCCTAGGAAGAAAAAAGGATCCTTTTTGTGTATATATAAGAAAGCCCATAACCCAAAAAGTAAAAAGGATCCCTAACACTGATTGAGTAAACCCCAAAAACGGACGAGGAAAAATTGAGGCCAACTCCCATCTCGGGGTCGGCAAGATGCCGCAAACTTCTGCAAGCTGTGCTCTAGGATGCCCAGTAACCTAGGGATGAAAAGGGGCTCCCCTTTTTGGTATTGTGTAACTTGATAAGGGTTTAGGGTTCAGGGTTTAGGGTTTAGGGTGGTGCTACTGGGCATCCTAGTGCTTGAACAAGGAAGCCCCCCCACCAACCTCGAAGAGGCTCTGGGACCATAATATACAGGGATTAGGGTTTATAGGCTTTCGGGTTTGTAAGGGTTTTGGCTTTCTCCTGAAGATTGCGGGCTTGGTACAGGCTGAACCTAATTAAACATCATGTCGAGGTCTGGGGTGCAGGCTCTCATGTTCCGTGCCCATACATGTAAAACCTAAATTCTACTGCCGGCAGTGGGTTCTTATTTGGCGACAACACGTGACATCACGTGCGATCGCTCCCCCACCCCCACGGCGCGGTGCGATTTTGCAAAGCAGGGTTTCACCTGCCTGTCGCATCTAGGAATGCGTTCGCCGTCTGAAGTTGCGTGGTTCTCAAGTGAAACGAAGTAATCCAGGCTGTCGTTCAAAGCGGAGCCGGCAACGCGTCGACCTGCTCCTGGGCATTGCCACGGAAAGCCGATACCCTCAAGTTGGGATGTTACCCCTTATGCTATAGTCCTTACTGGGGATTGTAGAGCCCCCCTATTATAATCCTTATTCAGGACTGTTAGTATAAGGGGGAACAGCCCAAAACCCTAAACCCTAAACCCTAAACTCTACAGCCTGCTACATCCCAACCTATACCCTCAAGCCGTTCGCAGGGATGGCCTTACTTTTCTGGGACAGAGGCGTGCACTTTAAGGCATCGAAGTCATCTAGGGAGGACCTAAGATGGCATCTTAGGCCTAAACCCTAAACCCTCAACCCTCAACCCTAAACCCTAAACCCTAAACCCTAACCCCTGCATAGCTGCTTCTTACACCAACCTCAAGCAACCGAGGCGCGCATCAGAGCTGATCGCAGGCGACCTTTCGTGAGATCGAGCCGAGGAACCTGGGCATCAGGATCGGGCTTGTGTGAGGGTTTAGGGTTTAGGGTTTAGGGTTTGGGGTTTGGGGTTTGGGGTTTGGGGTTTGGGGTTCGGGGTTCGGGGTTTGGGGTTTGGGGTTTGGGGTTTGGGGTTTGGGGTTTAGGATTTGGGGTTTGGGGTTTGGGGGGGATTCTGAGGGATTCGGGTTCAGACTGGCATGGCATCCCTAATCAATCTATCCCTGCCTTTTTGTTCGTTTTAGGATTTGGCCGTTTGTAGCTGAAGCGTGCGAATGTACCATTTTTGGGACAGATGTTGGATACTAGTGTCTGCCCCGAAATGGACGTGAATGGCACTGTGGGGAGTGAACCCGAAAATAAAAAATGTTGACATTTCTCGTACCTCTTGTACCGTATCTTTTCTAAAGTAACTTCGGTTATAGTCGAGTACTACTCAAGTGTTCATTTTCAAAACGAACTAACATGTCAAAACGAAGATTAACAGCCTGATCTCACTATAACTATATCTGTACCTAGGGGTGTATATAGATATACAGATATATATATATATATATATATGTATACTCCATCCTTGAATCACGGGGTACACATGTAGTATACGTTGTGATAACAGGATGGAGTCGTTTGCACAAACCACCAACGTGCCCCAAAGCAACTACTGGTAGCACACACACACACAGCCAACCAAAGACCCCCTTGATGAATTCGTCCACAACATGTGCGCCGTCAGTATGTCAGCCCCTACACCAACCCTAAACGAGTAAGAACCCCTCAGCCCTCCACCCCTATAAAACCCTACACGCCACACCCTAAACCCTAAACCCTAAACCCCAAACCCTAAACCCTAAACCCTAAACCATATCTAAGCCAGCAAAGTCTTCCTCGGAGCAGCCCCGCAAGCGAGTCCATGTGCTCGTGCAGCTTGTGCAGCTCGCCCTCGACGTAGCTGTGAAAACGGCCCTGATTTCCTTGGCTTGCAGGGTTTAGGGTTTAGGGTTTAGGGTTTTTCCTATCTTTTGACCAGAGGTGGCCGCTTTGAGAGAGCTCTGTACCTTTCCCTATCTGAAAACGCCTGAGAGCTTGTATCTTATGCATATCTTAGCCTGTTAGGGCCCCAGAGTACATAGGTGGCTCTACATTCATGTCTATCAGGGGTTCATATGCATACTCTCATATCTGTCTTGAAGTTCTTTAGCAACTATAGTAGTAGCATGGTGTACTTGAGACTTGAAGTCTTGAAGTTCTCTCTATCAGACTCTGTCCCCCCCCAAAGGCAGCTCGGGACCAAGATACGGATGATCCAGCCCTGGTCTTGGATAATCTTGCCAACCTGGTCGACTGCTTCGTTGCTTGATTCGAAGGTGGTGTTAGAAGCTTGCTTGATCTTAGACCCTAAACCCTAAACCCTAAACCCTAAACCCTAAACCCTAAACCCTGTTGATTCCACTGTTTTGTTTTATTGTGTGCGTATGTGCGAGTACACGGGCCGGCGCGGGCTCAAGGGGCGGGTTTAGGGTTTAGGGTTTAGGGTTTAGGGTTTAGGGTTTAGGGTTTAGGGTTTAGGGTTTAGGGTGGCTGTGTGGGTGTAGGTGTGGATGTGGCTGGGTGGGTGTTTGTGCCGCCTGCCTGGCTTGGGGTTAGGGTTTCTGGTCACCTCAATCTGTAAGGTCTCGAGGCGCTGGGCGTTTACAAGCTGAAGCTAAGCGCAGAGGGCACCTTGACCCTACCTCTTATTGAAGTAGCATACTTCTACTTGGAGGTTCATGGTACTGAAGTACAGTTCTAATTGGTTAAAAAGTACCATGAACCTCCAAGTAGGTAACCCTAAACCCTACACCCTACACCCTACACCCTAAACCCTAAACCCTAAACCCTAAACCCTAAACCCTAAACCCTAAACCCTTGTCTGATTGCCACCACGAGCTCCCGATCAGTGATATTGGGGCTTCCGAGATGTCGGGGTTGTCTCTTGCGGAGTGTTGTTTGCCAACCGTGTTCCCTCATGCTCCCCTTTAAGTGGTACAATAACCCCCAAGACCCTATATTCCGATTCTTCAGGCCCCGATGACGCTAGTTTGTGGAACTCCCGAATGTCTCATCAGGCAACACACCGGAACTCGTCAGCTCATAAGTAAGGCTATTTAGGGGTAATTAAGCCTAATTAAGGTCATGTAAGAGGGTAACCTCGGAAAGAGGGGGGGGGGGAAGTAGGAATACCCATGAGAACTTGGCCGAGGGGGCATCCATTGCCCGAGCATGTCCGCTGAATCTCAGGCATCCCATGAAGAACTCCTCGATCCTTGGTAGCCCAGTAGCCATATTTCTAACAGGGTTAGCCTTTTTTGTCGGTTGGTTGCTTTGTGAGGAAACCTAGACCCCCCCAAAAAGGGCCCTAAACCCTAAACCCTATAACCCTAAACCCTAAACTCTGAACCAAACCCCTCCCCCCCCCCCCCAAAAAAAAAAAAAAAAAGGTACCACTGGGCTACCAAGTATCTCCACCAAGCCACCACCATCTTGATCGAGCAGCTTGAAGAATGACCAGGCATCCCAGACGTCAAGCCCCAGCGTCTCGAAATACTCACCTCGTGGTAGGGCTTAGGGCTTAGGGCTTAGGGCTTAGGGCTTAGGGCTTAGGGCTTAGGAGCTAGGGCTTAGGGCTTAGGGCTTAGGGCTTAGGGCTTAGGGCTTAGGGCTTAGGGCTTAGGGCTTAGGGCTCAGGAGTTAGGGCTTAGGGTTTAGGGTTTAGGGCTTAGGGCTTAGGGCTTAGGGTTTAGGATTAAGTTTTCTTGTTTTTCTTTTCTCTCTTCTTTTTGTTTGGAGGGGGGGGTTAGGGGTGGTTTGCGGCGAGGGCTCCCGGACGAAACTCAAGCCAAGCCACGGACAGCTGGGGAATCGAGCTTCTCCTCGAACATGCCATAGGTGATGCCGCCGTTTTGCCTGATTACCCTAAACCCTAAACCCTAAACCCCAAACCCCAAACCCTAAACCCTAACTAAACCCTGAAAAAGGGTTTAGGGTTTGGGGTCTAGGGTGCCTGATCATGCCAGCTGATTCGCTTTCTCATGGGAGTCATGAACGAAGTTCATGCGCTCGGAATATGACCCTGTTTGATGCCACTGGTGTTCCTACACCATCCTAAACAGACTAGCTCCTATTTTAACACTCCTACTTTCTCTCCTGCTCCTGCTCCTACTGCTGGTACGGGTACTGGTGCAGCTACTGCTACTGGATCTGCTACAGCAGTTTCAACTACCACCACCGCCACTAGTGGGATGGCGTGCGAGGAGTGGTCGAACCTCCTACAGAAGGGTTTATGGTTTAGGGTTTAGGGTTTGGGGTTTAGGGTTTTGCTTGGGGACAAGCTGTCGCTGAACTGGATTGCGCTGGGGCTGCTGAATGTCGAACTTGCTGAAGAGTGCGCGCAGCTTCCTCAAGTGAGCCTCCTGGCACATGGAGAAGCAGGCGTTTAGGGTTAAGGGTTTAGGGTTTAGAGTTTAGGGTTTAGGAAGATGCTCACATGCCGGCTTTGTGAGCTGGCCAGAAGATGCGGACATTGCAATGTGTACTGTTTGGGATGCTCCCCCAGGTGATAACAGTCCTCAATAGTGGCACTACACTCCCTATTGAGGACTGCTAGTATAAGGGGGAACATCCCTAAACCCTAAACCCTAAACCCTAAATCCAGCTAGTATAAGGGGGAACGTCCCAAGCAATGTGTACTGTCTTATCCCTCCCTGGTCTCCTTGTTATCCAACATGTTCTGCACGACGGTGGCATGATCGTTCTGCGCCGATTCGATCGCTGATTGGCAGAACACCTTGTCTACTAGTTGCTTAAGAACACATATATATATATATACTTATGTATTTATGTGTTCTGTTTTTTTTTTTTTGGGGGGGGGGGGGGGGGGGGGGTTCTTAAGCAGTAAGTAGTTGTTCGTGCAGCTTGCCCGACTAGGCAAGATGAAGGAGGTGCTTAAAACGGAATTCGGAACACACAAAACAAAAAACAAACAAAACACAGCAAAACAGCTCGTCATTGCCAGCTCGGCGGCTGCTGTGACGACGTTCAGGACCTTGGCAGCTTCTTTCAGAGGGTTTCGGGTTTAGGGTTTAGGGTTTTGGGTTTAGGGCTTTAGGGGAAACCCGAACACCCCGGCACCACACGTCGCCTGGCGAAGCTTGGAAGAGCTCAGCTGCTGAGCTCAGCCCGGGTCGACACCAAAACAAAGCTTAGGAGGTGGGATTAGGGGGTTTAGGGTTTAGGGTTTAGGGGGGAGCCTTGGGGATATAGACCCTCTCAATAAGATCCCTCCTTAACGGGCACCAAAAGGAGGGTTGAGAATGGGGTCCCCTTTGAAGGGTCTCCCAAACCCTAAACCCTAAACCCTAAACCCTAAACCCTAAACCCTAAACCCTAAACCCTAAACCCTAAACCCTAGGAAAACTTGCTTGACTTGCTGGCCGCGGGGCAGCAAAGTACGTAAAGCTTATGTAGAAGATGAAGCATGCCGTCCTTACTGTTGGTGAGCAGGGAATGAGGGACGGAGAGCCCCTTGATATACCCCTTTAAGGCACTACATACCCTACAAAGCCTAAACCCTAATCCTAAACCCTAAACCCTATAAGCCCTAAGCCCTAAACCCTAAACTCTAAACCCTAAACCCTAAACCCTATAAGCCCTAAACCCTAAACCCTAAACCCCAAAACCCCTAAACCCTAAACCCTAAACCCTTAAGGGATTGCAACCGACAGTAAGCGTCCAGATCCATGCCGAGGAAATGTGCCGCAAAGGAAGTAGGACCTCCTCCCAGCTCACCCCGCCGGCGATGCTCATGAAGAGACCTTGGGGTTTAGGGTTTAGGGCTAGGGTTTAGGGTTTTAGGGTTTTAGGGTTTAGGGTTTTAGGGTTTTAGGGTTTTAGGGTTTTAGGGTTTTAGGGTTTTAGGGTTTTAGGGTTTTAGGGTGTTAGGGTTTTAGGGTTTTAGGGTTTTAGGGTTTTAGGGTTTTAGGGTTTTAGGGTTTTAGGGTTTTAGGGTTTTAGGGTTTTAGGGTTTTAGGGTTTTAGGGTTTAGGGTTTTAGGGCTTTAGGATTTAGGGTTCTAGGGTTCTGTCCCAGCGCTTTGTCTTCGCAAATCGAAGCTCTACACTTCCATGAGCTACAACAACTTCAGCACTGAACACTACAAGCCCTAAAGCAAAATTGAACATGAACTACTATAAATATATAAGCGTATCAATATTTGTATATATACACACATATATATATATGTATATATGTAAACAAACAAAGACATGAATATATATATATATATGTATAAATATACATATACATTTTCTTATACTTCTAGTAATGATAGGTACTTTCTTTTCATTCTTCTTATATATAATACACAGGCAAGCGGGGCGCTGAGCATTGAGTCGAGGAGGGAGCCGAAGTAGCGCGTGCTGGCTTCGCCAGCTTCCTTACGGTTGGATCGTAGGGGGAGGGGGAATGAGGTACCCTATATAGGTGCTTCAAGGATTTAGGGTTATAGGGTTTAGGGTTTAGGGTTCAGGGCCTCATTCTCTGCTAACCAACAGTAAGCTTCTGGTGGCATCGGAAGCTTGTCGACATGGGTGTGGTCGTGAATGGCCTGTGTGAAGAGCACGGCAAATACCTCAGCGGCGCGCAAGTGTAGGGGTTTAGGGTTTAGGGGTTAGGGCTTCGGGCATAAATGGTTTGACCATGACACCCTAAACCCTAAACCCTAAACCCTAAACCCTAAACCCTAAACCCTAAACCCTAAACCCTAAACCCTAAACCTGCAAATACCTCAGCAGAGGGACTTGCAGACCAAGGAAGAGACCGGAGCCGAAGAGGAAACGCAGAGAATCGTAGGGTTTCGGGTTTAGGGTCTAGAGAAACCCAAGAAGGGTTTAGGGTTTAGGGTTTAGGGTTTAGGGTTTAGGGTTCAGGGTTCAGGGTTTAGGGTCTAGAGAAACCCAAAAAGGGAAAACATAAAGTAGAAACCCAAGAGGAACCTAGGAATAGACAGGGTGCCCTTTCTGGTTTACAGGGGATTGTAAGGGAACCCCCTCCTGGTATAGAACATCGCCATATAACAATCTCAGAACCGAACCCCGGGTCTAGTTTGTTAGGGTCTAGGGTCCGACCCTGAAGCCTACACCCGAACCCTAATTGGGAATACGAACCTCACAGTAAGGTCTCAGCAATGATTAAGAAACATGGGCACACCAAGAAATGACCCTTTTGCAACGGGCTTCTTGGGTACCGCCCGGCTCTGAGAAACTAGCTGAGCTCCGGACCTGTGCCAGAAGCAACGGCAGCACAACAAAAAGAACTAACCCTTACCACTGCACCCGTTTTGACGCATTTTTTTTTTTTTTTTTTTTTTGGGGGGGGGGGGGGGGGGGGGGGGGGGCGGCGCTAGATACTACAGCGAGTGCAATTAACCCGCGTCCAAGCTCTAACATTCAAGAGACCCTAGTGGCCTGACTCATGTAAATCGCTGATTGGCTGAGAAGGCCCGGATGCTCTGAACCCTGAACCCTTTGAACCAGGAGCTAGTACTCCTAAACCCCAAACCCCAAACCCCAAACCCTAAACCCTAAACCTTAAACCACCCTAAACCCTAAACCCTAAAACCACGGCTTGCAGTGCCGGTATGTCCGGGCTCTGTCCGGGATATCCTTCCCTGGACCAATCCCCTTATGTGTCTCGCAGCTTTGAGTTCCCCGGAAATCCTGAATCAGATGATCTTAAAGGGTTTAGGGAAAGTTTAGGGTTTAGGGTTTAGGGTTTAGGGTTTAGGGTTTAGGGTTTAGGGCTATTAACAGCCCAAGAAAGGACCACATAAGATCTCCCAGGCTTAACTGTCTGGTGGACCAAGGTGCATAGACAATCAAGAGCAGGAGGAGGAGGGCCCACAGCAGGGCCTTCAGAGTGTGCAAGACAGGCTGGACACCCTAAACCCTAAACCCTAAACCCTAAACCCTAAGGTTTGAACCCTAAACAATAAACCCTAAACCCTAAACCCTAAACCTTACAGCAGCGCCTTCAGAGTGTGCAAGACAGACTGGACCAGTGTCCGCAGCGCCATGACAAATCCTCAGTAGCCCAGTAACCATCTTAGGGGTTTAGGGTTTAGAGTTTCGGGTTTAGGGTCATCTTATAATAAGGGCACCCTTGGTTTGAGTCGGCTATTTTATGAGGGAAACCAGAACCGCCCCCCCCCCCCCCCCCCCCAAAAAAAAAAAAAAAAAGTAAAGGGTACCACTGTGCTACTAAGAATCGGAAGACCCGCATCAGCTGGGCCGTCTTCAAGATCCGCGTCAGGCGAATGATCCTTGGCTGACTTCTGAACGCCTCCTAAAAGTTTAACTTTTAGGCTTCCTATAGTAGTTTCTACAAAAACCCTAAACCCTAACCCTAAACCCTAAACCCTAAGAGCCTGCCAGAAGAAAGCCAAGGATCCGAAAGGCCTTCAAGCTGGCGATGCCGCTGACGCCGGAGCCTTCCTCAATCCCTGGTTGCCTAGGCCGGTTTAGGGTTTAGGGTTTAGGGTTGAGGGTTTAGGGTTTAGGGTTTAGGGTTTAGGGTTCGGGAGTAACCTAGGAATGAAAAGGGTACCCTTTTTGGGTCTTAAGGGGATGATAAGGGAACCCCTACCTTGCAAAAGGAAAAAGGGCCTACTCCCGGTCCGGGTTGCTGTGGCTCTAGGTACACGACGATGTCCACGACGATCTCCCACAGGGACAGAGCCACGATGAGCACGTCCAAGAGTATCCACAACCAGTCCTAGACTCCCCTTAGAACCTCACGAACAACAGTATTTTTAATATCCTCTTGGGGTTTATGTAACCAAAAAACTAACCAAAAAAAAACAAAATATCCCAAGGGGGACATAGAGTCTTCTGAACAAAAGATCCGAAGCCCGCCGGCCCATACCCGGCAGATCAGCTCTACCAAGAACCTTGGTAGCCCATCAACCATGTGACAACAAGGTTTAGGGTTTAGGACTTTAGGGTTTAGGGTTTAGGGTTTTTGGGGTTGAGGGTTTAGGGTTTAGGGCTAGGAATATACCCTAAACTAGAATAGGAACCCTAATATGATTTAAGGTATATTCCTCAATTAAGGGGTTTTGGGGCTTTTTGGGTGCTTTTTGGGGTTGGTTGCTGCATAAGCAAACCTAGAGCCCCCCCAAAAAAAACCCTGAGCCCAAACAAAAAAGCGCAAAAGGGTACCTCTGGGCCTAAACCACTATAAACCCTAAACCCTAAACCCTAAACCTAAACCCTAAACCCAAGAAGGGTACTAAACCACCAAGGAACAAGACGGTGCAAACGACCTGCAGTACCTGTAGCCATGCTGGCCTTCCCTCGAAGGCCAGGGTGTTCTCCACGTCAATCCCAATCCTGAGTAGGGTTTAGGGTTTAGGGTTTAGGGTTTAGGGTTTAGGGTTTGGGGTTTAGGGTTTGGGGTTTAGGGTTTAGGGTTTAGGGTTTAGGCTTTAGGGTGCTTTCAAACCGTGTGCAAGCTGTTGATGAATAGTAGGTTTCATTCTACGAAAAGAAGGGAAATTCAACAAGCATCCCAAAGCACGACCCAGAGTCATGATGGAGTTCAGGATCACAACAAATGCGAAGAAAACGTCGAAGACCGGGTGGTCCACCTCAGCTGCAGAATGGCCAGTGAACTGACGCTCATCCCCCTAAACCCTAAACCCTAAACCCTAAACCCTAAACCCTAAACCCCGAACCCTAAACCCTAAACCCACACCCTAAACCCTAAACCCTAAACCCTAAACCCTAGAAACCACCCTCAGTGGTTCAAGGGCAAGAGCCGTTGCCGTCTCACAGGCGAACAAGATTCTGATCGCACAACAAGTTCGGACCCCCTTTGGGGAAATCCAACAAGTAGAGCCCCAAATAGTACCCTAAACTCTAAACCCTAAACCCTAAACCCTAACCCTAAACCCTAAACCCTAAACCCCCTACACTGCCATTGGGTCACTCATAGGAACCCTTACAGGGATCTACGTTTTGGGATCCTCGCAGAAGTCTCTGGAAGCCTGAAAAAACCTTCCAGGGCTTTTCGGGTTTAGGGGTTTAGGGGTTTAGGGTTCAGGGTTTTCAACTCCTGAGCCACGGAGAAAAATGGAAGCCGAAAGAAACAAACCCTAAACCCTAAACCCTAAACCCTAAACCCTAAACCGCAAACCCCAAACCCCAAACCCTACTTGCACTCTATTTCGCCGGCGCAGCGCCAGTCGCGCCATGCAACGTCCACCAGCATCGGCTTTAAGAGGTTGCTTGTTGCCTGAAATTAGGGTTTAGGGTTTAGGGTTTAGGGTTTAGGGTTTACTCAGGGGCGAGCGCACTCGGCACACTGCTTAGGGCTTAGGGTTGAGGGTTTAGGGTTTCGGGCTTCGGGTTTCTGAGCCAACCCTGTGTCCTGAAACCCTCGAGCCACCTGAGCGGGCCGCAAGCGTGGAGGGAAGCTAAGCGGGTCACTGCTTGGGAGGTTCGAAGTCTTAATGCTTGGAGGCTCATGGCTAGCTAAAGGTAGGGCTTACGGTTTAAGGTTTAGGGTTTAAGGTCTAGGGTTTAGGGTCTAGGGGTTAAGAAGTTAGGGAACTCTGGTCCTCTTGGAGTCCTTTCCTGCTACGATCTCGATTGAGGATACTTACAACCCTAAAAACCCTCAACCCTAAAACCCTCAACCCTAAACCCTAAAGGCCCTTTAGACCCTGGCGCCCAGCATCAGTTTTGTCTGATGGCTTGGTTCTTCGGCTTCTGGATTTCAGGGTTCAGGGTTTAGGGTTTAAAGTTTAGGGTTTAGGGTTTCATGGTGCCTGCGGCTGCGAGCCGCGGCTTTGAAGATGGCGCAGAACTTTGACAGTTCATAAAGCTTACTGTAGGACTCAGGAAACTCGAAGGGGCTTAGAATCTAACCCTAAACTCCCAAAGCCCGTTTTTGTGACCCCTAAACCCTAAACCCTAAACCCTAAACCCTAAACCCTAAACCCTAAACCCTAAACCCTAAACCCTAAACCCTAAACCCTAAACCCTAAACCCTAAACCCTAAACCCTAAACCCTTAGGCCGAGCCGCGTGAGAACATGGCCCGGGATCGGCTCGCATCCGCCGAGTGAGCCTCCCTCTTCTTCTCCAGCTCTTGGTTGGTGTAGCCTCAGTTTGGGGTGTGTAGTGTTTAGGGTTTAGGGTTTAGGGTTTAAGGTTTAGGGTTTGGGGTTTGGGGTTTAGGGTTTGGGGTTTAGGGTTTAGGGTTTAGTTAGGGGATCCGAAGTATGGGCCCTGAGTCTGGGTCCCCTTTCTATAATCCTAAACCCTAAACCCTGATATACACTACGCATAATAAGGGCCAACCTTTGATCAGTTTAGGGCTTATAGGGTTTATAGGGTTGGTAGGGTTGTGTTGGTTTGAGAGTTGAAACAGGGTTCTGAGGGGTTTCGGGTTCGTAGGGATTTACAGGGTTTGCGGGGTTTGGGGCTTGGCGTGTGGAGATGAGGAATCAACTCAGCTGTTCTTGGAAGCCGCCGTCAAAGTTATTTAAACCCCAAACCCTAAACCCCAAACCCGAAATCCGAAACCCTAAACCCTAAACCCTAAGCCCTAAACCCTAATCCCTAAACCCTACCCAGTCAGCCAGGGAGCTTTTGAAGAGCCTGGCAAGGCATATGCGCAGCTGCAGCTACGAGTTACTTTACCTTCTGCCTCTATTTTGGTATGTAGGATCCTGGGTACTTCACCTTCTCTAGTCCCTAAACCCTAAACCCTAAACCCTAAACCCTAAACCCTAAACCCTAAACCCTAAACCCTACAGGGCTTTAATACAAGCTACAGGTTTGTACCGATCTGCTGACATGCAGATGCCTCCTTCCGTACTGTAGGGACTTAGGGGCCTTAAGGTTCGGGGTGTAAGGCTTAGGGTCGTGCTTCATTTGAGAGACGAGGGTCTAGTTCAACCCTAAACCCTAAACCCTAAACCCTAAGCTCCCTAGAGATGCAACTCGGCATCTGGATTACGTGCGTTGGCTGAGCTCTGCAGACAACACTCTTTCAGTCTTGGCAGTACTATCATTGGTTTCCCTGCTACACTGGGTTTAGGGCTTTGGGTTTTGGATTTAGGGCTACTACCCCCCTCTATGCTACCCCCCCTAGGTTCCACCCTGATATAACCTTAATGATGATGCTGAGTTATCCCTGAATAGGCTTAATTGTGAGGGGAACCTGGGGGGGGGGTAGTAGAGAGGGGGGTAGTAGGGGAACCGATGAGTCTTGGCAGTACTTGTGCGAGTTACGTGAGCAGATAGTTGATAGCGGTACATGTTTCCTGCACACGGTACCACAGAAGTCAAGGAACGCTGTTTCATACAGAGGGCCCGGACACCCTAGAGCCTAAACCCAGACTCCCTAAACCCTAAACCCTAAACCCTGTACCCCCCATCAAAAGTTCCCACCTCGGCCCTGCGGACCGCGAGGTGGACCCGCCCTCGCGCCACCTTCATGAGGTTTGGGTCTTTCTGGGTGCTTAGGGTTTAGGGTTTAGGGTTTCGGGTTTGGGGTTTAGGGTTTGGGGTTTAGGGTTTGGAGTTTAGTATATGCGTTTAGGATGTAGGGCTTGGGGATATTTGCAGTTCGTTGGTTATCTTTGGTCGACTTGCAGGACACAGAGAGTGAGGTTGGGCTTGAGGCTGAGCCTTGTTTTGCAATTGACACTCAGGTGACTCAGGTTACATTGCAGGGCGCAGTCGGGTTTTGGATTTAGGGTTTAAGGCTTTATCAAGATGTTATACATAAGTTTGTTGCTACCATGCATAGTAAGAGTACTGTAGTAGGGTTGAGGGTGTCGGGTTCTTCTGCTATTAGAACCCCCGGCTCTTCCGGTACTTAATTGAAACATTCGAGGGTTCTTGCCTGATATTTCCTCCATAAGCCTTCTATAACACTACCAAATGTAATGCCTACACAAGTTTCGTCCACCCTACTGAACTTGTTGTTTAGGCTGAGGGTGCGGCTACAGTGGCCCTTGTCACACCACCCCGCCCGCGCTCCCTCTCTCTCTCTCTCTCGCTCTCTCTCTCTCTCTCTCTTTCTCCCTCTCTCCCTCTCTCTTTCTCTCTAGCTCTTGCTATCGCGTTCTCGCTAGCTATCTCTCTCTCTCTCTCTGTCTCTTTAGCTCTCCGTCCGTGTCTCTACGTGTCTCTCGCTCACTCTCCTTCTCTCCTCCTCTGTCTCTCTCTCGGGTTTGCGAATGTCTCCATACTGAGATCACGCGTCAGCTGAGCGCAATAAGGAGCGAAACAACAAAACACTTGCGATCATTTGCGCTGGCCACCCCACAAATTTGTGTAAAGGCTGGTGCGAATGCACAACCCACTGAACCCGAACTCATGATAGGAACCCTATTCTGATTTTTGTCACGTACGTATTCCCACCCTTGTCGGGGGACCCACAATACATAAATTCAGACATGATAAAGAATTGTCATATATGGCCGGTGCCAAGCGTATATGTCTCGGATGTTGCTGTAACTTGTTAACCCCAGTATGAGTGTTTCAACGTGACAACTGTGCCCACCAGACCCAAATAGTCAGTACCTAAACCCTAAACCCTAAACCCCAGACCCTAAACCCGAAACCCTAAACCTAAACCCTAAATCCTCCCATACTAGTTTCCAGTTAGCTTGGCCATACGAGTAACTGAGGCAGGGCCTGGATAGGTCGGATGAGAGACCCTAAACCCTAAAACCTAAACCTTTTGCAGTCTCAGTAAACCCTAAACCCTAAACCCTAGACCCTTAAGCCTTCGGGCAGGCTGGCCGTCCGAGAAGGTCGAATCCCATTGTAGTTGGTCTTTGTTTAGGGCCTTTCACAGACCACCCTTCATCAAGCGCAGGCAGCGCTAGAAGTACAGGCGTCTGGCTCACGTCGGTTTTGCCCCGCACTCTGCCCAACTGTGAAGCTTAGTTGTCCAGTAAGCTGGGGGAATTGAAGGTTAACCTTTGGGATTTTATAGGGATTAGAATACCCCAACAAGGTTAAAGGTTACCTACTACTACTACTACTACTACTACTACTACTACTACTACTACTACTACTACTACTACTACTACTACTACTACTACTACTACTACTACTACTACTACTACTACTACTACTACTAAGACTAAGGAAGCGTAGCAAAGGCGACCCAAGCAAGAAGTGCCCCCTCCGTTGAAAGCAACTCCAAGATGCCTGGAGTGGTCGAAGGACTGCGTGATGTGATTCCTCAGCACGTCAGGTTCGTGAACCCTGACCCCAAGGGTCCATGCACCTCATCATTCTCTACTTGGGCCCCAAAGTCCCTCATTGGGAAGAACTTTAAGGGATGGGGGGGGGGGGGGGGTAGTGTAGAGGGGGGTAGCAGGGAAACCTGTGACTTGAGGGTTGCCCTTCGAGGGCCCATGGAATGATGTCGGGTGGGCTTGGAATGGTCTCGGTGTGTTTCGGGAGTGCTCTTAGACCATTGGCGTGCTCTTTCGTTCAAGGTTTAGGGTTTAGGGGTTAGGGTTTAGGGTTTAGGTTCATGTCCTCATGGTCTCTCACTGGTTGGGGTCTACGCTTGCAGACTGTGGGTACTATGCGACAAAGTTGGGTACTTTGTGAGTTCGGGCAAAAACATAAACATCTCGTCCTATTGTTGCCCTACACTTAGCTACGCTGAAGCCCTTTTGAACCCGGAACGGAAGGCGCTCAACCCTAGACCCTAAAACCCTAAACCCTAAACCCTAAACCCTAGCTACACCAGAGCCAAGCCACAGAAATGAAGAGATTGACCCACTTTGGGCTCCTCCGGGAGAGATTCGCTGCCTTTCCTGCAATCGAAGTTCAAGGGGTTAGGGTTTAGGGTTTAGGGTTTGGGGTTTGGGGTTTAGGGGTTGGGGTTTAGGGTTTAGGGTTTAGGGTTTAGGGTTTAGGCGTGGGGATCCTCCTCCTCCCCCCCCCCAAAAAAAAACACACACTCTACCAGTGCTACTTTAGTGCTTGATTGTTAGGCGTCTCTAGGGTTTAGGGTTTGAGGTTTAGGGGTTGAGTTTTTGTTTGCCACTTGTCTCGGGTTAAGGGCTTCGGTTCTCGGGAGGTTTGGGAGGGAGACGGCAGAAAATGCTCAGCACGAGTGCTTTAGGGTTTTGGGTGCAACCCTACCCCAAACCCTAAACCCCAAACCCTAAATGCTCGAAGACTTACAATGGTTGGGGACTCAGGAACACCCTCGCCCCAACCCTGACTAAAGGAAAGGCCAATGCAATGCGAGTACGCCACCGAAGAAAATCCAGAAAACTCATCAGCTCCCAGACCCCACCCAGAGCAAACCAGCCATGCCCTACACCCTAAACCCTAAACCCTAAACCCTAAACCCTAAACCCTAAACCCTAAACCCTAAACCCTAAACCGCCCTTGTTGTTGGGAGGGACAGCAGTCCCCCAAAGCCCTCTTATCTGCCCAGCTGCCCCGTGACCCTGAAGGCCTAAGCACTAGACCCTAGACCCTAAACCCTAAACCCTGAACCCTAAACCCTAAACCCGAAACCCCAAACCCTAAACCCTAAACCCTGAACCCTAAGCCCTAAGCCCTAAACCCTAAACCCTAAACCAAGGGAACCTGAGCGCCAGGTGGCATTTGGAGTTGGAGGTGCTTCAGATTCCTTCGACGGCGGTCGCGCTCCTTGAGAGCTTGATCCTGGCAAGACGGTGTTTCGGGTTTAGGGGCTTTGGGCTTTGGGGTTTAGGGTTTGGGGTTTAGGGTTTAGGGTTTAGGTTTGGGGTTTAGGGTTTGGGGTTTGGGGTTTGGGGTTTAATTAGGGTTCAGCAGCTCCGGGTCGAGCATTCTCTGGTAGAGCCGCTGCTTCGACTTTAGAAAAAAACCCACCCACCCAGAGAATCCCAAAACATTTACATTTTTTCATCAGCAAGTGGACAAGGCAGGGGAGGGGGGGAGAGGGGGCAAGCTTGCCTTGTGCCTTGTGCATGAAGCCTTGTGCCTTGTCCACGAAGCCTTGTGCTTTGTCCACGAAACCTTGCGCCTTGACCACGAATGACCCCTAAGGTTGAAATAAATAAATAAATAAATATATATATATATATATAGCAAGAGAGGTTTAGGGTTTAGGGTTTTTGGGGTTTGGAGTTTGGGGTTTAGGGTTTTAGGGTTTCAGGTGACCGTTGTAACAAAATGGGCTCTAAAAGTACCCCGGTCTTCGGTAGGGGATGTACATGGAGACCTAAAGCTCTTCATGTCGCTCAGCCCCCAACAGGTGGCTCAAGAAAGCCCGAGCTGGGGAGCCCAAAACTCGTAGCCGAACCCTGAAACCTTTTGACCCCTTAGATACATCCCCGAAAGCCCCCTTGAGCCCCTTGAAAAGGCTGCTGTAGCTTGGGAAGACTTTGCCTGTCCCTAGACCCGAAATGCCGCTTGGCTTCTGCTTTTTTTCTGGGTAGCCCAGCAACCATCTTAAATAATAAGGGCACCCTTTTCTGGTTGGTTACTTTATAAGAGAAGCCTGAACCAAACAAAAAGGGTAAAGGGTTCCACTGGGCTACCAAGTATTCCTCACGGGACCGCTGTGGTGGCCACCATGAAAGAACAAAAGGGTTTAAGGTTTAGGGTTTAGGGTTTAAGGTTTAGGGGTTAGGGACCCGAATGAGCACCACCTCAACAGTACTGAGTCCACAGCCCTGGCGTAGAACTTCGACTGGGAGCTTCCTAGAGTATGCGTAAGTATAGGGCTACAAAATGGATGCTAACTCCGGCTCAACTAGGGGATACAATGTTCTGTCGGGCACTAAGCTCCATTGATCCTTCACTTAAGGGTTTAGAGTGTAGGGTTTCGGGTCTAGGGCCTAGGGTTTAGGGTTGAGGGTTCAGGCCTCCCCAAAAAAACAACCCCCACAGGCGCCTGAGAAGGTTTCGCGCACCAGGCGGGGCTGCGGCTGGCTGCGTGCAGTTGTTGGGAGGAGCTGTTCAAGCAGGCCTTGGTAGCCAGTAGCCCTAAACCCTAAACCCTAAACCCTTTTTGGGAATGGTTGCCGGTTATAAGGGAACCCTAGACCCTAAACCCTAAACCCTAAACCCAAAAAAGGGCAAAAGGGCACCACTGGGGGCACCAAGAAGCTGTCCTGAAGGTCCAGCCGGTGCCTCGTGTCCGAGCCATCCAAGTGTTCCAATGTTGCAATGCCATTTGGGGTTTAGGGTTTGGGGTTTAGGGTTTAGGGAGGCTTGGCCGGGGGGGGGGGGGGGGGGGGGCGTACTATGCGGGGCCGAAACTCCTATCTTCGGACTGCGACGACAGGTTACGTCATACAAGGAGCGACTGTGAATACATAGCTGACAGGCAAACAACATCCACTGCACGCTGCGATGCAGGACGGTGTCGTGCTGACGCTGCAGAAAGGACAAGCACCTCGGCAATGCGAGACATCAGCGATAGCAACGTGGCCGCAGCATCAACATGCATGCCGACCTGGGTCGAAAAACCTAAACGATGTAAACGACCCTGGAAGCCACAAACAGCACACCCTACCCTTCTAGGGTCTGGGTTTTTGGTTTCGTGTCTAAACCCTAAACCCTATAAACCCTAAACCCTGCACCCTAAACCCTAAACCCCAAACCCGAAACCCTAAACCCTAAACCCCAGTGTTTAGGACCCAGGGTCCTAAGCTGCGACTGAGAAACGCTGCCAAGTCGGCAGACTGCAGCAGCGGAAACTCATCTGCCTCCTGGAGGACCAGGGGCCCAAGAGCCGAGGGGGTCGGGTTTAGGGGTTTAGGGTTTAGGGTTTAGGGTTTAGGGTTTAGGGTTTAGGGTTTAGGGTTTAGGGTTTGGGGTTTGGGGTTTGGGGTTTAGGGCTTAGGGTTTAGGATTGGTTTAGGGTTTGATTAGGGTTTAGGGTCTAGGGTCTAGGGTCTAGGGTTTCGGTACTCTTACGGCATCGAGTTCTCAAACCTTGTGTCCTAAACCCTGCTGCTGCACATTATTGCAAGTACCCTGCCGACATCAACCACACCAGCCCGGTAGCAACTGCCGAGCATTCTTGGAAAAGAAAGCGCCCTAACGCGCAACTGCAGACTACTTGGCCGTGAGAACCTCAGACATAAACATGGCACCCACGAGCAACTGCACAACCCTTCGGCTAAGAGCGTAGAGCCCGCAAGCCTGGACCCTGAAAAGCCCCACTTGGATTTTCATGGGTACGTACAAGTCTTATTACAAGTAGGGTTACAAGTACCCCAAACGCGTAATAACCGTCGCTACTCACTAACCTACGTACAAGTGCCTAACCCTAAACCCTAAACCCTGAACCCTAAACCCTAAACCCTAAACCCTAAACCCTAAACCCTTAAACCCTAAACCCTAAACCCCATGATCCTCCAACTCACGAGCCCCTCCCACACTGCCCGGTTGAGCCTCGGCGAGGACATAGGAGCCCTGTTTGGGTTGAGGTCTGGAATTTCGGCTAAGTTAGGGTTTAGGGTTTAGGGTTTAGGGTTTAGGGTTTAGGGTTTAGGGTTTAGGGTTTAGGGTTTAGGGTTTAGGGCACCCGAAGAACACGGCCATACAACCTCGCACTACTCTGTACTGAGCAGGGCCGGAAGGGCCTTGTGCAAAACGACAACACCCACCCTCTTAACCACTTCATAGGTGGGTTTAGGGTCTAGGGTTTCGGGTTTAGGGGTTAGGGTGGCGACAACCTGTCTTCAGCGCGTATTGCGATGGTTTGCGGCATATTTCTGGACGGATAGAAAGAAGTGACCACTGAGCTGACCATCCCAAGTCTGCGCCCTGAACCCTAAACCAGCCCTAGCCCTCAACCTGTATGCACCGAACACCCAGCCCTCTCAACCCTGGGCCCACAACCCGCTGTGCCATCTGGCCAGCATGGACTGCCCACGTGCACATGCAGTCGCCGGGTCTGCAACTAAGCTCGGGCTGCACATGCAACTGCAAAACCCTGGAAGACCCTGAACAGTAACTATCTCAAAGCCCGACTTAGAGGGTCTTAGGAACGTATATGCAGGGTTGTGAAGTAGGATATGAAACATTCTAACGACAAGTTACACCCTTGGCGGGGGTACTTTTAACCCGATACAATGCCTGTGAACCTTCAAGGCAGCCCTAAACCCTAAACCCTAAACCCTAAACCCTAAACCCTAAACCCTAAACCCTAAACCCTAAACCCTAAACCCTAAACCCTAAACCCCACAAACCCTGACCAGCTTGCCCCAGACTGCCCCGGCCTGGCGTCGTCGCGACAGGGACGGCTCCGGCATCTCTTCGGCAACCAGGGGAGGACTGAAGGTCCCTCGAGTGGGGGTCCTTCTAAAATAATACAGTATATTATCCGCAATATATACTATATTTCTTATTCTTACTACTATTATCATTATTAGTATTAAGATAAATATAAATAAATATATATATATATATATACATTATAAGAAGCCCGATGTAGGGTCTAGGTTTAAGGCACCCAGGATGGGATCCTAACCTAGAGCACATACCCTGGCCCTTGTTTGACCTTGATATTTTGCTTTCGGGTCTGGGGCCCGACGTGGGTGCAGGGCGTAGGAATGGAAAGAAGACTTTGCGCATCCTGTTCAGAATGAAAAAAATGCCGGGGAGACGCGTCGTGGCTGCAGAAGCGACATGTTAGGTTTTAAAAGTCCCCATGAATTACGCACCCTAAACCCTAAACCCTAAACCCTAAACCCTAAACCCTAAACCCTAAACCCTAAACCCTAAACCCTAAACCCTAAACCCTAAACCTGGCGCAATGTCTTTCCAGGTTCTCGGTGTGCCTTTGCGCGTGACGTGCCATGCTGGGAACCCTAAGCAAACACTTTTAAGCATCAGGGTTTAGGGTTTAGGGTTTAGGGTTTAGGGTTTAGGGTTTAGGGTTTAGGGTTTAGGGTTTAGGGTTTAGGGTGTAGGGTTTTTTGAGGGCGCAATCTTCAACCGCGGTCTTTTCTGATGTCGTCACTTGCGCGACGTGGGTCAATCTGGCCTCAACGACTTCACTGTCCGCACGAAGCCCTAACACAAAACATCAATAACATTAAGGCTAGGCTGCCCAGTAACCTAGGCTTAAAGAGGGTGCCCTTTTTTGCTTAAAGGGGCTTATAAGGGAACCTAAACACCCCCCAAAAAGGGAATAAGGGTACTACTGGGCATCCCAGAACATGAAGCCAAGGCGTCAGCCAAGGCTACGAACGGATCGTAGGCATAGCTTTCAAAAAAAAGGTGTGTTGAGAAGCGAAAAGTGGGCACCCCGAGGTGCCCCTAACCCTAAACCCTAAACCCTAAACCCTAAACCCTAAACCCTAAACCCTAAACCCTAAACCCTAAACCCTAAACCCTTTTTGCATCCGGACTCCCGTGGGTGCTGCCAGAAGCTGCCCAAGCACAGGCTCCCAGAACCCTAAACCCTAAACCCTAAACCCTAAACCCTAACACCGCCATGCCAGAGCAGTTGTGAATACTCATCCAGCACCCAGCGCTGGCTCTAGACCAAAAAGTGTGAACCTGGGGGGGAGTTGGCGTTTTGGGGCTCATGAATTGCAGCTGCTGGCTTTAGGGTTTAGGGTGCAGGGTTTGGGGTTAAGGGTTTAGGGTGCAGGGTTTGTGGATTAGGGCTTTACAGGGTGGGGCCCCCTTACTATACTAACTGTAGTTAAGGGACTTATAACCTAAATTAGGGTCCTTATAACCCAATTTAGGGCCCTTATAACTCTACTTATAACTAGGGGGCCCCACCCTGTAGTGCTTCCGTGCTCAGGGTTCAAAGTGTTCAAGGCTTCGGTCCCAGGTCCTTGGAGTGCAAGTGATGGCGAAACTGTGCGAGGGAGGAGCGGAAGGCATGTAGGGTTTTATCTTGGGTTTAGGGTTTAGGGTTTAGGGTTTAGGGTTCCCCGTTCGGCATTCAGGATGCCTTAAAATTTTGGGTCCAGGAGGAAAGGGATGTGGCCCAGGCTTGCGGTTGTCACTTGCGAGCGGGCTGTTTGAGTTTGGCGAAAAGGTGACAAAACCGCGAGCCTCCCATCCCACGGAAGACCTGGTTTGGGAACTTCTCTCTACTCAGGTGCCCCCTGAGTTTTCCTACAGCACGCGACCTGTGATGAAGAACTCCCTCACTTGCAGCAGCGTGCGACTCTACATCGTGTCTCCGCATCCCAACATGGCCACCTATGCCCATCGGAAGTGAAGCTAACCCTAGAGGATTACTGCGGACAAGCCGATCCACAATGACTCATAAGCCTCTGTCAGTCACTAGCCTCTGGTACACCCGTTTCAAGCATCCTAGCACGCCGCACAATTGTGGGGTAGCGCAGGTCTTTCAGGAAGTGCAGTGTGAGATGTGTGGCTTTTTTTCTAGGCTGCCCAGTAACCAAGGAATAAAAAGGGTGCCCTTTTTTGCTTAAAGGGGTTTATAAGGGAACCTAAACCCCCCAAAAAGGGAATAAGGGTACCACTGGGCATCCTCTTTAAAAAACGATCACAGCGTCCTTGGGAAACTGCGAGCGCGCTGCATGCCGTCTTGGCAACCCAGCTAGATGGCGACTTGGAAGGTGGCCGCTAAACCCGAAACTTGGGAAGTTCCCCCCTTGTACTCACAGTAGTGACTATAGTCGGGGGTCTATCATCCCTACTATAAGGACTGTTAGGATACGGGGGAACATCCCACCACTAGACCCAACATATCCTAAACCCGAGTTCCTAAACCCTAAACCCTAAACCCTAAACCCCAAACCCTAAACCCTAATGAACACTACACTTGCGCGCAGGCCACGCCGCGAGACATTGAGCTGATGAACTCTGACAATGTCGACATCTCCTCTCTCAGGAGGACCAGTTCCTTCTCCTTAGGATTAGGGTTTATAGGGTATAGGGTATAGGGTTTAGTGTTTAGGAAGGACTAGGAGGGAGAGGAACGGAACCCAACTTCCAACATGTGACTCACAAGTCAAGCCGGGAGAAAGTGCAGCAAAACGAGGACTGCGGACAATGAAAACGCCAGGGTTTAGGGTTTGGGGTTTAGGGTTTAGGGTTTGTACAGCCTCGATTAGGGACACAAGTCTACCCTAAACCCAAGACCCTAAACCCTAAACCCCAAACTCTAAACCCTAAACTCTGGTGGCAAAAAAGCACCCCAAACCCTCAACCCTAAACCCGAAAGCCTCTCGAATCTGAGCGGCCACAAATCGCTGGAATCGCCCCTGGTTCTTGATGAGCCATGCTTGGTCTTGGCTCAGCTTACCTCAGTTCGGGGTTTGGGGTTTGGGGTTTCGGGTTTGGGGTTTACCCAAAGTCTAAGAATTGAAGGTTGACGGCTTTTGGTTGACCACATTCCCGAGCTATCCCCTGGAAACTCCAAATCAGTGAACCGCATGCAGCGAACGAGATTGAGGTTCCCTTGTTGCTGCAGTTCCCTGGTAGCCCAGTAACCATCTGATAATCCTCGTTACAATCAGGGTACCCTTTTTGCATTGCTTGCTTCGCATGAGGAAACCCAGAACGGAAACCAAAAAAAAAAAAAAAACGGGTAAACGTACCACTGGGCTATCCAGGTTCATACAGCAAAGACAGTAGCAGCACAAAGCAACATATGAACATCATTCACCACGACGGGGCTTTTTCACTCTAAACCCTAAACCCTAAACCCTAAACCTGAACCAACCCAGCGTCGCCCAGCTAGACCCCTGTACCTCAAGGGGGAACATGCAACCGACAAGACTGGTTGAAGGGTTTAGGGTTTAGGGTTTAGGCTTCTGGTTCCAGGTAACTTCAGGCGACGTACTCCCCTTTTTTGCATGCCGGGTGATAGACGCGCTTCTGTTTCGTGCCAACGGACCATGATCCCAGGAAGGGCTAGTTACTTGGCTCGAGGCGGGGACGGGAGGGCGGGGATGTTTTGGGGTTTGGGGTTTAGGGTTTAGGGTTTAGGTTGGGCGCTAGAAGGGTTCAGGTACATGAAGTTGCCCGAGATCTCAGTTCTGCCCTCTGCCCAAAGCCTGAAACCCCCTACCCCAAGGTCCTCTAAAACTCTAAACCCTAAACCCTAAACCCTAAACCCTAAATACAGTCTTGCGCCAAGCTGCCCAAATCCAATGCTGAAGCCGTCCCGCTGAACCGAAGGCAGCCCATAAAGAACTCCTGGCTCTGAAGATGGACCGAAATCATTTTTGGGTTTAGGGTTTAGGGTTTGGGGTGTAGAGTTTAGGGTTTAGGGTTTGGGGTTTAGGGCTACATAAATCCGAATCCCCAGACTTTGAGGATCTGGGGGCTTGGAAATCTTGGCTTCAGGCTCTGGGTTTCAAGGCTGGAAGGATTCGGGGACTTGGGGCTTAGGAGGCTTGAGTGATGCAGGGGGTTTAGGGTTTAGGGTTTAGGGTTTAGGGTTTAGGGTTTAGGGTTGCCACACGCGCCTTGCTGTCCCATTCAGGAAGGGTGTTGGGGCTCAAGGGAACCGGAGAGGTAGAAGGGACTCCAATTGTTTTAGGGTTTAGGGTTTAGGGTTTAGGGTTTAGGGTTTAGGGTTTAGGGTTTAGGGTTTAGGGTTTATCCCATATCAATCCACCCTGAAGCCTAGACCGAGACCCTAAACCCAAAAAGTCAAGAGCAGCTTACAAGATACCCTGAGCCCTAAACCCTAAACCCTAAACCCTCTTTTGCATCAGGACTTGACCCTAAACCCTAAACCCTAAACCCGAAACCCTAAACCTTATCCCTCAGACAACCTGGCAGCTGCGGGGCCTGCCCAGGTTTATGTAGCAGGAGTTATTCCCTAAACCCTGGACACCCGAGTATATCGATGTATGCATGTCTGTATGTCTGTATGTCTGTATGTATGCATGCATGCATGTGTGCGTGTGTCGTGTGTCGTGTGTTGTGTGTCGTGTGTCGTGTGTCGCGTGTTGTGTGTCGTGTGTTGTGGGTTGTGGGTTTTGGGTTGTGGGTTGTGCGTGGTGTGTGTGTAGTTCGTCTTGCACACCCCCCTCCCCCCCTTGCCCCCAGTTCTTCAACACCGAGGGCCTCTAAATCCACGACGCCGCCGAGGTTGGCGTCGAGAAGTTTAAAAAAGGACCAGGTATCCCAGATGTCCAGTCCCAGCGTCTCCTCGGTTTAGGGGTTTAGGGGGGTTTAGGGTTAGGGGTTTAGGGGTTTAGTTAGGGGTTCAGGGGTTTGGGGGAAAAAAGTTGGGTTTAGGGGTTTAGGGGTTTAGGGGTTTAGGGGTTTAGGGGTTTAGGGGTTTAGGGGTTTAGGGGTTTAGGGGTTTAGGGGTTTAGGGGTTTGGGGGTTTAGGGTTTAACAATAAAATTTAGGGTTCAGGGTTTAGGGTTCAGGGTTGGGATGTTCCCTTTCAGACTAACAGTCCTTAGTCGGGGATTATAGTAACCCCCCCCCTTTGGGCTAAACAGCATGTGCTCATAATCGGGCCTCTCTCTCTCTCTACGTTTCGCGCAAGCCAACAATCTTGGGCCAAGGACGAAGTTTCTGGCTTTGGCAGATGAGCCTCATCCATTGCCATGGCGTACCCTAAGCCCTAAACCCTAAACCCTAAACCCTAAACCCTAAACCCTGTGGCTTGGTGGCAACTAGCTGATTCTGGATCTCCTGAACGGGATCAACTGCGGAACCCGTCGGGAGCATCAAGACGACATTGATTTGGCATGGTTTAACAGATCTCCGTGGACGAGCCGCGTAATAGGGTTTAGGGTTTAGGGCTAGGGTTATAGGGGCCTTAATACTTCGAATAGGATTTTGGGGGGGTTGTTATAGTTTTCTTATCAAGGGATCGTAAGGGAATACTACTAGAAATTATTCCGAGCCCTATCTTATGATGCCTATGACGAGAGTCGAAGTACTCACGCACAGATGGCGTGTCGATCTTCTCCTCGAACATGCGCAGAGTAATGCCGCCGGTTGCGTCGGCACCGAGTTTGCCTCACAGTCATCCCACAACTTGCCCTGGGTTTAGGGTTTAGGGTTTAGGGTTTAGGGCTTAGGGCTTAGGGTTTAGGGTTTAGGGTTTAGGGTTTAGGGTGAACCCTCCTTGTGCCACTTCCATGGCTCTGACGACCAAAGGAGGCAAACATCACTGGGCCCTTGAGTAAGGACAACAAATCCAGAACACCTAAACCCTAAGCCCTAAACCGACCCTAAACCCTAACAGGTCCGAGGGGCTGAACAAAGTGCGGAGCTTCGCCAAATGCGATTCTTTGTCGTCAATCATGTTCTGGACGACGGTCGCATGATCTTTCTGGGCGCTCTCAATGGCCGACTGGCAGAAAACTGCAGTTACCTGAGCTCACCAGAAGAAAATTTTGACGATGGCACCCACTCAACCACATGCGGCTGCATGGGCGGGGGCAGCCACCAGCTTGTGCAGCACCAGTGTGCTGCTGACTCATCGTTCCACTCGCCGTGGAAGAGTTAGTGGGGATTAGTAGGTTCCTAAAACCTGCTGCTGCAGTGTCACAACGTGGAAAAGAGACTGCATGCACAAACGCTCACCGAGTGGCAAGAGCCAAGCAAGGGGTGTGTGCTGAAAGCAAGCTAACTAACTAACTTTGTTCGGGTGCCGGCAGCCCCCAAATGGACAGGGCACCCCTGTTGCCCCATGCGGGCGCACAGGGCGAGTGTACTTCAGCAACAACAATGAGGTAAGCTAGCAAAAGCTACCTCAAAACGAGCTCACCAACTAACTAACTAACTAACTAACTAACACACTAGGCAAGTAGGTAGGTAAGTAAGTAGCTAACTAACTAACTAATAGCTAACGGGTGCCGGCAGCTCCCCGCCCCTGTTGCCCCATGCGTTGCCTGAACTCACCACAAACTTTGTCGCCAATCGCGACTTGTGCGAATTGGATACCGCCACGGTTTAGGGTTTAGGGTTTAGGGTTTAGGGTTTAGGGTTAGGGTTTAGGATTTAGGGTTTAGGGTTAGGGTTTAGGGACCCAAAGCCACAATTGGAGACCTTACGGGAGCCCCAGGTTGGCGACCCAAAGCCGGCCTCCGAGCCAGGCGTGCTAGGCCATTGTAAAAATCTTACAAAGCCACTTGGGGTTTAGGGTTTGGGGTTTGGGGTTTAGGGTTTAGGGTTTTAGGGTTTAGGGTTTAGGGTCTAGGGTAACCCACAATAAGTGTCCACCCGACCAGCCACAGCACTGCGGGTCCAGTGAAATGTAATATGGAGAGAAAGCCGGGTAAGTCCTAAGCCCTCTAAACGTTAAACCCTAGTGTGGAGCCTGCTGCTTGCAGAGAGTGCTTGCAGAAACCGCAAACCCTAAACCCTAACCACCCCCCCAGCGAATTCCCTCGGATGGTACTGGCCGAGGGGAAGTTACTGAATCTTGCCCCAAGTTGCAACATTAAGGACGGCGAAGTAGGTGAAGCCTCGAAGCATAAAGTCGCACTTGGGTTTAGAGTTTAGGCTTCAGAGGTTTGGCCATGCTATTCATTCTGACCCTAAACCCTAAACCCTAAACCCTAAACCCTAAACCCTAAACCCTAAACCCTAAACCCTAAACACTAAACCCTAAACCCTAAACCCTAAACCCTACAGTAAACCCTAAAGCCTACAGCCTAAACCCTAAACCCTACACCCTAAACCCTAAACCCTAAAGGAAGAGGGGTTTCCGTTTAGGGGCTCTCTTTTGAAACCCTCCGTTTCCTGAATGCTTTGCTACTTTTCAGCCGGGACTTTCAGATCGCACCCTCAGGATGCGGGACACAAGCAAAAAGCCCTTCCTGAACCCTAAACCCTAAACCCTAAACCCAAAACTCCAAACCCTAAACCGCAAGCCCTTCAATTCAGGCCAGCCAGGCAGCAGATGTAAAAAATGTAGCACAAGGACCACACCGTCGAGATTTCGCGCAACGGCTCCTTGGTAGCCCCGTAACCATACTACAAGAAGGGATGACCTTGGTAGCCCTGTAGCCTGTAGCTGTATTACAGTTTAGGGTTTAGGGTTTAGGGCTGTGAGGGCACCCTTTTTGGGGTTGGCTGCTTTATAAGGAAACCTAGAAGCCCACAAAGAAGGCCCCAATAAGGGATGACCTCGGTAGCCCAGCAACCATATTACAGTTTAGGGCATAGGGTTTAGGGTTGTGAGGGCATGCTCTTTGGGGTTGGTTCCTTTATAAGGGTTGCTTTATAAGGGAACCTTGAAGCAACAAAAGTGCCCTAAACCCGAAACCCTATAACCCTATACCCTAAACCCTATAACCCTTCTAAACCCTTTTAAACCCTAAACCCTGAACCAAAAAAGCCCTAAACCCTATAACCCTTTTAAACCCTAAACCCTGAACCAAAAACGGGAAAAGCGTACCACGGGGCTACCAAGGCTCAATGACTTGCTCCCAGCTCACGCCGCCCGCAATACTCATGAAAAGGCTCAGCATGCTAACATCCAAACCTCGGCGTCACATCTCGGGTTTAGGGTTTAGGGTTTAGGGCTTAGGGTTTAGGGTTTAGGGGTTGGGGTTGGGGGCTCATAGGAACCCAGAGACAGAAACAAGGAACCAGAAAAAGTTTCCAAGAGCCCCCAGAAACCTCCGAAGTACTTCGTAGGGAATGAGGGAATTAGGGCCCTATATACATCCTTTAAGGTATTTTTTAAGGGTACCTCTGCTAAGAACCAGCCAGAGAAGCCTCCGAAGTACTTCATGCCGCTCAGGACCATGTCGGAGTCGGCAAGGTCGGGATTACCAGAGACGTAGTCGTTGACTCCCTGCGCAAACCTGACGCGGGCTTAGGTGTACTTGAAGGCTCACGGATACGTTTAAACTTGTTTGAGAATAAAGTAGGGTTCTAATTACGCCAAATAGGGTTAACCATGCTTTCCCTACTTATAACCCCACTTATACTAAGTAGCCCTCCAGGTAAGGTTCCTGGAGGGAAAAAGACTGAGGGCGTTGACGAATCCAAAGGATCCGAGTATGGGGTGTTTATATTTGGGGTACGATTAGGGCATTTTTAGGGTACATTTAGGGCATGCTCAGGGTACATTTAGGGTACGTTTGGGGCATATTTAGGGTATATTTAGGGTATCTTTAGGGTACGTTTAGGGTATCTTTAGGGCATATTTAGGGTACATGTAGGGTATCTTTAGGGTACATTTAGGGTATATTTAGGGCACATTTAGGGTATCTCTAGGGCAAACTTAGGGTACAGGCAACTCAGGGTATGTAGGGGTTAGGGCTTTGGGGGGCGTTCTGGGTTTCGTTGGGATTTTGTATTAGCATTTAGAGAAAATGCTATGCGTCCTGCAAAGCCGAGACGCAAAACTGCGAAGACGTAGACGATGAGAACGAGCAGAAGCAGCGCCCAAAACCTTAGCTCTCCAATAACCCAAGGGCAAAATAAGGTTAAACTTGAGTATTCGCAAATAAGGAAACCCAACAAAAGTTGAAAGTTCAACTGCTGGCTGAGTAAGAAGCAATGCCTTCAGGGTGTGCATGATGGACTGGACAAGCGTGCGGAGCGCCATGACAAATCGGAAGATGCGCAGAAACTGTACCTTGGCCCAACTTGGCTGACTTGTGAAGCCTAGGAGGGTTTAGGGTTTAGGGTTGCTACAAGAGCCCAAAAGGTTAAAGTCCTAAGAGCCAGCCAGAAAGAAAGCCAAGGGACCATCTTCAGCAGCCGAGTCAGTCGAATAACACGGAAGGCCTTAGTGGCCCAGTGAGTCCATACATTATTTTTGAAGTTGGTTACTTCTAAAAAGGAACCCAGAGCCCCCTAAACCCTAAACCCTGAACCCTAAACCCTAAACCCTAAACCCTACACCCGAAATCCTAAACCCATGTATATCCTAAGCCCTGAAGTTTAAACCCCAACATGCTCAACCCTGAACCCGAACTACCAATATGCCTTTAGACTTGAGCCCCTAAGAAGGAACCTCGAAGCCCCCCCCCCCCCCCCCCCCCAAACCCTAAACCCTAAACCCTAAACCCTAAACCCTAAACCCTAAACCCTAAACTTACAAACCGCAAATCCTAAACTTACAAACCCCAAATCCTAAACTTACAAACCCCCAAATCCTAAACTTACAAACCCCAAAATCCTAAACCTTTCAAAGATGCCTGAGGCATAGGGTTTAGGGTTTAGGGTTTAGGGTTTAGGGTTTAGGGTTTAGGGTTTAGGGTTTAGGGTTTAGGGCCCTTCCCGGAGGCGATTCCTAAAGAGGGGAGAAGGGTGGTACTGGGCAGCCCAGCCTTTAGACTCGACAGGCCATTGATGGTGTTGAGGTCGACGGCGCCCGCCAGGACATCCACCAGAACTTCCCACAAGGAGGTCCCAACAATGACCTAAGGTTCTCTCCCCCCAAGGGTTTAGGGTTTAGGGTTTAGGGTTTGGGGTTTAGGGTTTAGGGTTAGGGGTTTGGGGTTTGGGGTTTAGGGTTTAGGCTTTCGGGTATTACAAGGGATCCTTGTCCTGAAAACTGGGGGAAGAAGGGTACTACTGGGCGTCCGGGTGACAACATCCAGCAAGGCCCAGATCCAGTCTTCAGAGACGAAATAGCGGCAGCGGCTGGCGACGACGCGCGTGACCAGCTCGATTGTGAAAACCGTTGTAAAAAAGTACTGGAGAATCTGGTACTCAAGAGGTCTGGGACCTGTATTCATGAGGCTGCGCTGGACGTCAAAACCGATGTACACCTGAAAAGCAGCAGGGCTGAGACGTGAGACGCGGGAGAGCCAACTAGGCTGCACATGGAGGTTCATGGTACTTAACCAGACATAACTGTACTTATAAACCCTAACCCTAAACCCTAAACCCTAAACCCTAAACCCTAAACCCACTTCTAAGCCGCTTAAGTGCCATAATGTGGCTATAAGTACAGTTGGGATGCCGGCAAAGTGTTGCACTGCAACCCACGTAACAGGCGTTCTGCAGCCAAGGTGCTGCATTCACGGTCACCACTAGCCTTGGCCACTGTGCCATAACTTGTTCATTGTTGGGATAATATTAAAAATTTAAATTTATATTCCTTATTGGGTTTAAGTACCCTTAAAAATGTAAAATGTTTCCCAACTATGACAAAGATAGGTCGAAACAACATCTACTCTCAAAGTCTGAAACGATTTCACAAGGCTTGCTGGAGGCTCATGGTACTTCTAATGCGGTTCGCAAGTGCCCTGAAGGCGAAAATAGCAAGTGTAGCAAGAGGTGCCCTACTTTTAAGTATGCACAATCCTAGATCCTAAACCCTGCTTATAAGTACATGTGAAACTCCAAGAAGGCTCTATGGCCCTTCTGTTAACGAACGGGTACCTACCGGGCAGGGTGTAGGGGTATCAATTATCTGGGGCATTGAGGGCCTAGGAACCTTAGGGAAACCAAAGAAGGCCCACTAGGTTTAGGGTTTAGGGTTTAGGGTTTAGGGTTTAGGGTTTAGGGTTTAGGGTTTAGGGTTTAGGGTTTAGGGTTTAGGGTTTAGGGTTTAGAGCTTCGGGTTCAGGGTGTAGGGTTGAGGTTGTCGGGTTGACTAGCCAGAGTCCCCCTTCAACAGTGGCCACTGGAGGTGGCTGCATGCACCAGGGTACATACTCCAAAGACCCCAAGCCCCTTTTTGCCACTGAGCGGGGGTCTGGACACCCGAAACCCTAAACCCTAAACCCTAAACCCTAAACCCTAAACCCTATACCCTGCTGAAGGGCTTGGTGGATCAAGTCAGGGTTTAGAGGGGATGTGCCTTTTTGCTGGTGCCTGGCCCTTAAGCAACGATGAGTATATATGTATGTATCTAAACTAACATTATACATGTATAGGGTTTAGGGTTTAGGGTTTAGGGTTTAAACTTACATGTCGTATGGTATGGTAAGTAATGACCCATTTTAGGGCTTCCGCCCTGCAGTGGCTGTGCCAAGCAGCGCGAAGAAGACGTCGAACCCAGGAGAGTTAACAACTTTGATGGAGGTGGGTGTCCAACCGACGCGCCAAAGGCTCCTGTTACTGGGTTCGGGGTTTAGGGTTTAGGGTTGGTGTGTTTTAGGGTTAGGGCTTTTTTGGGTTGACAGTTCTTGGAATTACAGAGCCAGAAAGGCTCAGTCAGCTGGGGTTCATGGGGCGGGGCCGGGGTGGGGGGGAGGGTGGGTGGGTGGCCCTAAACCCTAAACCCTAAACCCTAAACCCTAAACCCTAAACCCCAAACCCCAAACCAGGTTTTGGGTAGGTCTTCCTGAACCCTCTTTGAAATGGAAACCCGGTCAAGCTAAAGTCTGGTAGGGTCAAACAGTTGCAGTAAGTAGCCCTACATACTGCATCTGAGCCGACTAAATCCCCCTAAACCCTAAACCCTAAACCCTAAACCCTAAACCCTCGTCCCCCTACACCCCCCTGGGTGCGGACGAACGTCAGCAGTCCCCCAAACCCTGAGGACCCAAGCACTCTGCCAGCGCTGGCGCCCTAAACCGATGGAAACCCTAAACCCTAACCCCCTTCTTCCCCCTAAACCCTAAACCCTAAATCCTAAACCCTAAATCCTAAACCCGAAATCCTAAACCCGAAACCCTAAACCCTAAACCCTAAGCCCTAAAGCCTTTTGCATCTAAAGCCCTCAACCCTCAACCCCGCCGACTCCTTGGCGCATTGTTCGACATGTGCTTCTCTCTCTGGGAGAAGCGCCGCCTCTGGGTGCTTGCTTCTGCAAGTTCCTCGGAGCCCCAGGGGAGTTTGGGGGTTTAGGGGTTTAGGGTTTAGGGTTTAGGGTTTAGGGTTTAGGGGTTTAGGGGTTTAGGGGTTTAGGGTTTAGGGGTTTAGGGGTTTAGGGTTTAGGGTTTTGGGTTATAGGGCTTAGGGCTTAGGGTTTGCAACCCTTTTGAAACGACTCCTAGGGTTTCACACAAGAATGGGCAGGCTGATGGACAGCCTTTCTTTCAACTCCTGGCATGATTGAGAGCAAGTGCTTTCGGGCTTTGGGTGAAGGGTTTTAGGGGTTGATTTGTCACCTCCAGCGCTGGAGTTTCAGCGGCACTTTCACCACACAGCTGATTTACAACCAGGTCGTGACGGCACAAACCCTAAACCCTTAACCCTAAACCCTGCACCCCCCAGGACTCTAGAGGCTCATACTCCATCAAATCTTGGGAGGGGGGGAGGGGCGGGGCGGAGGGGGAGGGGGGACGGGGGGGGGGGGGGGGGGGGGGGGGAGGGGGGGGGCATCTAGATAGTGCCCCCTAACCCTCGCAGAAGAGACCTAAATCAAAGGGTAGGCATCTGACTAAGGTACCGTAGAGCCTTCAAACCCTAAGCCAAGGGTTTCTGGCAGGGGCGCCAGGGTTTAGGGGCTTTAGGGTAGGGTTTAACGGAAGCCTTCCATCCACCCGTGGTTTCGTGGAACCCCAGCCAACTAGGCGAACAATCTGCGACCGATAACCTGGAATTTAAGTCCTAAACCTGACGACTGTCTGCAGAGAAGGCAGCGGCTCCCAATTTCAGCGAAAGGTCCTGACGTAGGACGGGCGCTCTTGGTGACCATTATTGAGGGTCGGGGGGGTTTAGGATTTTCCAAGTCTGCTCAAGTGTTCCAAGGCGAAGAAAAAGGCGAAGAAACATTCGAGCCTGCATCCCTAGCATACCCCAAAACACAACACCCCCCCCCCTGCTCACAGGAGCCCCAAGCTAGGCAAGCCTAATCTTCGGAAGGTCCTATATAGGGCCCGTATAAACCCAAACTATGCAAGTGGATGACCCTCTCTCTCTCTCCCTCTCTCTCTTCTTCTTCTTCTTCTTCTTCTTCTTCTTCTTCTTCTTCTTCTTCTTCTTCTTCTTCTTCTTCTACAGGGCTTGAGGGGCCCGGGGGCCCCGCGCTCTCTCTCTCTCTCTCTCTCTCTTTCTCTTTCTCACTCTCTTTGTTTATCCTCTGAGAACCCTAAACCGGAAACCTTCAACCCCTGAGGCCTTCACCCTAAAAAGTCGAGCCCTGGACTGAACCGGGAGGTTTTGGGGGGAGATCGATGCACTTGACTCGATCTCTTAGTTGCTGAGTTCAGAAGGCCCCTCTATAGCGGGATTGTAGTCTCCCAAAAAGTGTAAAGTGTGCTCACTCGGCTACTTAGATCTACAGTCTTTGCAGGGTAAACCACAAATACGACTACCACCACTACAGCCGCTACAACTACGACGACTCCACGACAATGACTTCGACCACGACGACGAAGCCGACGACTCCTACTACTATTCGTGTAGGCTTATCAAAGCAGCTCCGATGCATTCCCTGCACAACCACTGCAACTTCTAACCCCCCTAAACCCTAAACCCTCCAGGACTTGCAGAGAAGCTTTCGGGCTTGGAGGTTTGGGGTTCGGCTGCCCTGTGTAAAACTACAGCTGCGCATCTCTCTTCACCTGCATGACCGAAGTGCTAAATTAACCCCCAAAGTTGAAAAAACAAATCCCTAGTATCCTAAACCCTAAACCCTAAACCCTAAACCCTAAACCCTAAACCCTAAACCCTAAACCCTGAACCCTGAACCCTAAACCCTAAACCCTAAACCCTAAAACCTTTCCTTCCCTGAGTAACTCTTCTCCACCCGAAGGCACCGCCCTGCAGAGCCCGACTCGGCATCTTTCGAAGGTTCACCTATGGAAAACATTCTTATATAGGGGCCTGAATGATTAGAATAGGTTTTTTTGGCGGGGTTAATCTAGTATAATTACAAAGGAACCATAAGGGGATCCTAAACCCTAAACCCTAAACCCTAAACCCTAAACCCTAAACCCTAAACCCTAAACCCTAAACCTAAACCCTAAACCCTAAACCCTAAACCCTAAACCCTAAACCCTAAACCCTAAACCCTAAACCCGACCCCTCGATTAAGCAAGATCCTCAGGCAACGGTCAGGGCAAATATCAAACGAACCAAGGCTGGGAGGTTCTTGGGTACCTAAAGTGGGGTTAGGGTTAGGGTTTAGGGTTTAGGGTTTAGGGTTTAGGGTTTAGGGTTTAGGGTTTAGGGTTTAGGGTTTAGGGTTAAGGGTTTAGGGTTTAGGGTTTAGGGTTTAGGGGGTTTAGAGAAGTAGGGCAACTATACTATAGTTGTAACATGTTGCACACCTGTTACTCTCCTTCACAATTCTCCTTTAAAAAGTACCCAGGAACCGCCAACCCATGAACCTTCAAGTGTACATGTCTTTGCAACATTTTCGGGGATAGGGTTTAGGTCTAATGGTTCTCCCCACACGATCCATAGCTAACGTAGTTTCACAGTTTTCCACGAAATTCTGCAAAAAAACACTTTCCGAACGAAAATGACAATGTTGGTTGTAGAAACGCGATCACAGCAACTCGCGCACGAAAGTTAAAACGCGTGCGCGACGCATTCCCCTCCCCCTGGTTTTTGGACTTCCCACATGATCCATAGCTAACGTAGTTTCAACGATCTTTCGCAAAATGTTGCCCAAAACCTTTCCGAACGAAAATAAAAACTTTGGTTGTAGAAACGTGATCGCAGCAAGTCGTGTCCGAAACCTAAGAAGCGTGCGCGGCCAACCATTAGATTAGGGTCATTTTGCAACCCATAGTTGCGGGTCCTCGGCCGTGTATGATCTCAGCCCTGATTTCAGCTGCTGGGTTGTCGATAGATCTGAGTCCCTGGGCGTGCGGACTGACAGTTCAACTCGGGTTTCGGGACAAGGCGCAGGTTGAAAAACCCTACAAAACACTAAACCCTAAACCCTAAACCCTAAACCCTAAACCCTAAACCCTAAACCCTAAACCCTAAACCCTAATCCCTTTTTTGGAACCCGGGCTTACTGAAACCCCACACCCTAAAGCCTTACATCTGGCACAGGGGCCACATCGCCTGCAAGCGCAGTAGGCCTGATGGGTTGCGACTCTCGCGCTCGCACGCGGCAGGCTCACCGCACGACCCAACGCAGCCCCGAACTCAAAGCTTAGGGTTTGGGGCAAGCCTACCTAAACCCTAAACCCTAAACCCTAAACCCTAAACCCTAAACCCTAAACCCTAAACCCTAAACCTTAAACCCTAAACCCATGTCAAGTCCAGGCGCAAGGTGTCGAGCTGCTCTGCAGACTCGGAATGGCCTGCCCAAAGGGGATCATCAAAGTAAGGAAGCACTGCCCTAAACCCTAAACCCTAAACCCTAGACCCTAAACCCTAAACTTAAAACCCTAAACCCTAAACCTTAAACCCTAAACCCTAGACCCTAAACCCTAAACCCTAAACCCTAAACCCTAAACCCTGAACCCTAAACCCTAAACCCTAAAAAAAGAGCAAAACAAAAACAAATAAACTCAAAATATCCTTCTTTTTCTGGGCAATATAGGGATTTAATTCTTGCATGTAAACAAACTTGGAGTTTCCCCCTTGTGTACCCTGTAAATCCCCACGGCCCATACTTCAGAACCCTTTGAAGGAGGCGATGGACCATCTACAGGGACCTTGAACCCTCTTGGAGGTTCATGGGTACTTACAAGTAGGTTCGTAAGTAGGGTAACTATGGCTATGACCCTAATTAAGGCACCTAGAACCCTATTTTTCACTACACATGAACCCCTGAACAGGGTCCCCCTCTATGGGTCTGGAGTGTACCTTTCTGATGGGTTTAGGGTTGAGGTGGGGACGGCAACCCAACAAGGGGATATAGACCCTAAACCCTAAACCCTAAACCTTAAACCCTAAACCCTAAGCCCTAAGCCCTAAACCCTAAACCCCAACAAGGGGATATAGGTAGGTGGTTGCTGGTTCCAAAAAAGTATCTCTTTGCAATTGTAGGCTTCCTTCCTTCGTGAGAATGCCGGAGTCCCATGCTTGGAGGCTCATGCGTACTTAATAAGTAAGGGTTTAGGGTTTAGGGTTTAGGGTTTAGGGTTTAGGGTTTAGGGTTTAGGGTTTAGGGTTTAGGGTTTAGCAGCAGCACACATGAATCTCCAAGTGAGGGTTTCCGAAATTAGGGGTTTCCTTATTGAAAAGGAATCCTACCACTGGGGAAGCAATTGTCGGGGTCCCTGAATTTCGCAAACTCCCACGTGCTATGGGACACCACCGCCCGCCTGTCGGCGGCCTCTCGCCTGCCTGAAGTGGACTCCTAGGCTGCCCAGTAACCTAGGATTAAAAAGGGTGCCCTTTTTTGCTTAAAGGACCCTAAACCCTAAACCCTAAACCCTAAACCCTAAACCCTAAACCCTAAACCCTAAACCCTAAACCCTAAACCCTAAACCCTAAACCCTAAACCCTAAACCCCCCAAAAAGGGAATAAGGGTACTACTGGGCATCCTAGACTCTTTGATGCCCAAGAGGAAGTGCCCGACCCAAAGGTCCTTGGATGTCGGCGTTTAGGGTTTAGGGTTTAGGGTTTAGGGTTTAGGGTTTAGGGTTTAGGGTTTAGGGTTTAGGGTTTAGGGTCGAGGTGAAGGGGTTCGAGTTTCTGGTTTCGGGTTGAGGGCCATTCTCAAGCCTGAAGCCCACGCCCAAAAATAGGGAAGCGTGTACGTCACAATAAGGGGTCTTACTTGGATTTAGAGAGCTTTACATGATTCCGTAAAACCTAAACCCTAAACCCTAAACCCTAAACCCTAAACCCTAAACCCTGGAAGACATGTAGTAGGACTCCTTCTGCTGGTTCAGGTCTGCCTCCTGATTTGCACAAGACCGAAGCACATGCTCTGACTCTGGGCAATTCACCCGGAGACTGCACTACCCTGAGCTAAAAGAAGAAGAGTTTAGGGTTTAGGGTTTAGGGTTTAGGGTTTTTGTTTTTTCACCCCCGTTGCGCATGCGTTGACGGGGAGAAGGTCAGTTGTTCAGTAGCCCAAACTCAGGATGTCACTAAATAGGATGTTCTGACGATGGGCATGAGGGGTGCTTCATCAGGTACATGGCAGGATGGGGTGGTCAAAAGGCGGGGTATACAATACCCGCTAGAAGATCTCAGCCCCCATTCCCATTCTTCTTTCGCCTCGCAGCCTGCTGGGAGTGCTGGGGTAACCTACTATGTTTTACCGAGCTTATAGGCTTAGCGTTCCCTATTGCAGCTTAAGGAATATAGGGTTTAGGGCTTAGGGTTTAGGGTTTAGGACTTGCCGGAGTGAGGCTGTACCCTGACGAGGCACCCCCCTGCCCGAAGAGGTCTTGTTGGTGATGGCGTACCTGACCTCGAGGTCCCCCCACGCAAGACGAATACTAATGAGCAGGATCCTGGAACCCCTGGTTCGGATGACCCAAAAGACCCGTCCTAAGCACAGAGGCCCATCTGCTACTCTTTCTGTCGCAAACGGGGTCATGTCTGCAGCGCTTGCTCTTCTGCTTGTTTCCCAAGAAACTTTCCGGGACAGCTGCGATATCCCCGGCAAGGTTCAATACTTAGCACATGCCGCGACAACGTTTTCAGGCTCAAGTAAATCAGAGTCTCCGGTCAGAGGGTCTGTGATGCTGGCTCCTGAGTTTCTACATTAACACTCCTGAAAAGCACGCGTGAACCTCCAAGTGAGGGGGGAGGGGGGGGGTCTTGATGAAAGGACATTCTGTGACACTCGCAATTTCCCCAGTCAAAAACACGTTTTTTGTACCATTCCTGCGCCGGAGTCTGACGCAGCTTCCACGCGAGCTTCGAAGCTTTCAACTCAGGATTTTGTTGAGGTTTTGTTTAGGGTTTAGGGTTTAGGGTTTCGGGTTTAGGGTTTAGGGTTTAGGGTGTGGGATTGCTGTGAGCCAAGTGACGCCTCAAGCTTCAAGATCCGTTCTTGCTCGTCCAAACGCTCTATGAGCTGCTCATGCTGGCTCCTCATGGTGCGAAGAAGCCTGCTGCTTCAGGGTTTAGGGTTTAGGGTTTAGGTGGGGTTTGGGGTTTGGGGTTTGGGGTTTGGGGTTTGGGGTTTGGGGTTTGGGGTTTGGGGTTTGGGGACCGGGTGTCTGTGCAGCAACCATGCTCGCACATTTTCGCACTGGGCGGCCCTTCATCGGAGATAGAAATCTGCAGCTACGATGCCGATACGCAGTGGGACATGCTCCAAAACAAACTGAGGATGCAAAGCATAACGCGTACTGTACCCACGTGAAACAACCCAACACCCCGCCCTCGCTGGCAAGTTCGTTTTCAAAGGATGAACAGAAAATGTTTTGTGGAATTTGCAGGGGATAATAGTTGGTGGTTGTACTTGTAATATAGCCCTAGCCATGAACCTCCACATAGCCCATCCACCAGCATCCGCAACGTGCTGGAAAGCGGCAGCGTCACATCTGGCGACAGGAGGGCAGCCGGCGTGTCGTCCCGTGCAGGATCAGCCTCACCCACGAGTTTTTAGAGCAACACGCGAACGAAAAGCAGCGAAGAACTAACATTCATAGGGACGAAATGAGCAGTATTCTGTACAGTATATCCTTATTTGTGGAAGAGAGGGATGAGTACAAATTTAAGGACGAACGAAAAGAGGACGCATGAAGTGTGTGAAGGAACGAACGTACTGAATCGTACTTCGATGCCAAGACCTTGCGTTTGTAGCGTTCTTGGGGCGCGTTCTACTTCTTCACTATTGCGTCCCAAGTTATCTGTTTTCTGTCTTCCTTTTTTCACCCCCCCCCCCCACAAAAAGAAAAACAAAACAAAACAAAAGCTGAAACATATTCTTCCTTATCAGGGCAATATCGTCATCATTCTCCTTTAACTTCTTCAGGGGGTTCTGAAGCAAAACAAATCGCCTAGGAAGATGGGGGATGCGGGTTGAGGGCTCAGGGGTGGCCGAACCCTAAAGAGGGGAATTAAAGGGCCCTAAACCCTAAACCCTAAACCCTAAAAAACCCTAAGGCCCTAAACCCTAAACCCTAAACCCTAAACCACCCTGGGATCCCTTGTTGCCTTGCCTTGCGCCTGGTTTAGGGTTTAGGGTTTAAGGTTTAGGGTTTAGGGTTGTGAGGCCACCAACATCTTGCCAGAACCGTGTGGCTAGGGTTTCGTAGTCTGAGGGGTGCAGTTCTTCGCGATGTTGGGGCTTTGGGTGTAGGGCCGAAAAACTGATGAAAATTGGGCTGGCAGGAGTTGATTTTGCAAGAAGTGCCCATCAGGAAAGGCTTTCTCAAGACCTTGCGCATGCGAGCCCGCCTCCGACGGTGCCGCCATTGTGCTGGACCGGTGATCTACCAGAGCCACGCGCACATCTGATGCAAGAAGCCGACTTAGTTCGAGACTTTCGGATTGCGCTTGCCAAAGTGATCGCACTTCGCGTGCCGGCGTGGTGTGTACTCCCCCTGTGGCTGTGCTATGCGGCTACTGCTGATCTTGTCTTGCCCAGCTGAAACAGCTCCCACAAATGCATCGCGTGTCCGCTATGTCTGACGCAACCTCCTTGCAGACTCATGGTCACAGGGTTTAGGGTTTAGGGTTCAGGGTTGTTTTGCCATCCGCCTAGCAAGTAGGGTTTAGGGTTTAGGGTTTAGGGTTTAGGGATTTTTCTCCACAGGATCGGGTCCCGAGTCGGTATCATAGACCGATGTAGCTGTAGATCGTGGGCGTGAAACAGACCCCAGGGCATTTCGTCTGCTTCGCAGATGCAGCCGGCCTGGTACATTCGAAAATGTGTAACCAGGGGCTCCAAGTTTTAGTAAGCAAAAGGCAGGTGTCCCTTCCATAAGCTTGTCTTCAACCAGGCGTAAGTATCCCTTAATCCTCAAACCCTAAACCCTAAACCCTAAACCCTAAACCCTAAACCCTAAACCCTAAACTTGGAGTCCTGGAGGATGAGAAGCTTCAAAAATATCTCACAGCTCCGTCGAACAAAGTTGGCCGTCTTTGGCAGTGGCATTGAGCATCGCCTTCAGAGGGCTAAGAGGATAGGTTTGGGGTTTAGGGTTTAGGGTTTAGGGTTTAGGGTTTAGGGTTTAGGGTTTAGGGTTTAGGGTTTAGGGCTTGGGGCTTAGGGTTTGGGGTGGGGGAACCCCTAGAAGGGACCCTTAATCTTCTTCCCCTCTAGCCTCTGCGTATACCCTATGTAGGCCTTAAGAACCTCCTTTAACTTCCCCCATAGCCTGTGTGTATACCTTATGTAGGCCTCAAAAACCTCCTTTAGTCCCTTGAGACTCGTACCCCTGGTGCGTACCCCTAAGAGGTCCCCTTAATACACTCCTAACATGGCCCTGAAATTCCCAATAGGGTACATGTAGCAAGCCCCCCCCCCACCCAACAAAAAAAAACAACTAAGGGTACCACCTTTACTACCCAAAACCCTAAGCCCTAAACCCCAAACCTAAACCCCAAACCCTAAACCTTTAGGGGTCCGAGGAAGAGTCCCATGGCGCCTGAGACACGATCGCCAGAAGCTCCTTCGTCTGAAGGAGCTCGGCTTCCTTGTTCCATGGAACAGGCCCTGGTTTAGGGTTTAGGGTTTAGGGTTTAGGGCTAAACCCTAAGCCCTTTTGCACCCAGGTCTCTGGCAGCCAGCCGGGTTAGAGTTAAGTGTGAGGGCGAATAAGAAAGTCTCACGAATTGTGGCGCCATGCGATTTTTTAACAGATTCGAACAACAACATGCCCCTCTTCTAGGGTCATAAACCCTAAGCCCTAAACCCTAGAACCCTACAAACCCTAAACCGTAACCTCAATCCGGAGGAGTTTAGGGCATAGGGTGTTAGCTCCCGAAGCCTACGGAACTCTTGAACCGAACATCTGTACACCCAAAAGGAACCAAAAGCAGGGCGGAAAGTGAGGCTCACGGTGGGTTTATCCTCTTTCCTGAGTGGACCCCATCCCTGGCATGTAGTTTAGGGTTTAGGGTTTAGGGTTTAGGGTTTAGGGTTTAGGGTTTAGGGTTTAGGGTTTAGGGTTTAGGGTTTAGGGTTCAGGGAACCCTCTTTTGACGGCCGGCGGCCCAGAAGAAATGATGGCAAGGCGCCGGAAAAAAAGCCCTCACTTCAGAAGGAGCTCGGAAACTTCCCCTAGACCCAAGGTTTAGGGTTTAGGGTTTAGGGTTTAGGGTTTAGGGTTTAGGGTTTAGGGTTTAGGGTTTAGCGTTTAGGGTTTAGGGTTTAGGGCCAAGCCCCTACCTGAAGGCCTCCTTAGTAGTATGGGGGATTATAGTATACGACCCTTTAGAAGCCAAATCCCACAAACAAAACGATACAGCGAGGGGAGGTTCGGAGACCTCCTACATCCTAAACCATCAACACTAAACCCTAAACTACCCAACACTAGCGACCTCGAAGTCCGTACTATAGGGCTGCGGGTCTCGGATTCGACCCGAAAACACCAAGCCCGAAAACCTAAACTACTTCTTGCTTAAGAACCCGCCCCAAACAAGACAAGATACAATAGTCTTCCTCATAGGGGCAATTTGGGTTCGATTCTCTTCCATGTTGTTGAGGGCTCCCAAGCAAGTTCATAGTAGTAAACTCATTTCTCAACCAAAAGTTGACCACAAGTCCTGAGTCAAGGGAGTCATTTTTCGGACCCCTAAGGATGTAGGTACCCCTAAGGAGGTGCCCTGAATCTTCTCCTGACATGGCCCTTAAATTCCCTTAGAGGATCCAGGGTTTAGGGTTTAGGGTTTAGGGTTTAGGGTCTAGGGTTTAGGGTTTAGGGTTTAGGGTTTAGGGTTTAGGGTTTAGGGTTTAGGGTTTAGGGTTTAGGGTTTAGGGTTTAAACCCAAGGGGTACAACCTGAGAGCCTGAGGGGTCCAAGGTAAAGTCTCATGACCGACATGAAGCCGAGTCGCAACTAACTTCTGGAAGTTTCCCTGGCTTTTGATCAGCCACCTTCCAGGCAAGGCAGCTGTGGGTTTAGGGTTTAGGGTTTAGGGTTTAGGGTTTAGGGTTTAGGGTTTAGGGTTTAGGGTTTAGGGCTAGGGGCTGAAGCGCACCACCTCGAGCACGCAGGGGTTCATCAATCGACTCCGATCGACTCAGAAAATGAGCCCTGCAGTGTCTGCCCAAGGGGTCCAGGTACTTATGTCGGGAGAAGGTTTAGGGTTTAAGGTTTAGGGTTTAAGGTTTAGGGTTTACGGTTGAGGGTTTAGGGCCTGTAGGATATGAATACACCGGCTTGCAACCTCATGCCTCAACCCTTGCACCCTTGAACCCTTGAACCCTTGAACCCTTGAACCCTTGCACCCTTGAACCCTTGAACCCTTGAACCCTTGAACCCTTGAACCCTAAACCCTAAACCCTAAACCCTAAACCCTAACCCTAAACCCTAAACCCTAAGCCCTAAACCCTAAACCCTAAACCCTAAACCCTAACCCAAAACCCTATACCCTAAACCCTATACCCTAAACCCTAAGCCCTAAACCCTAAACCCTAAACCCTAAACCCTAACCCAAAACCCTATACCCTAAACCCTAAACCCTGAGTACGTGGGAGTGGTTACCCTCCGTCAGCCTCTGGTCGGCAGCCAGCTTTCCCACTTCCATGGCTGTGGCCTCAAGGCTGCGTGGGATTCAGGGTTCAGGGTTTAGGGCTTGGAGGTTTAGGGGTTTAGGGTTTAGGGGTTTAGGGTTTAGGGTTTAGGGTTTAGGGTTTAGGGTTTAGGGTTTAGGGTTTAGGGTTAGGGGTCCAGGGTTTGCATCTTCCCCCCCGAAGGTCGGACGCAACCGCAGGCAGCCCAGGAGAAGAGGACATGCGCGAATGAGAAGGCAACTTGAACCCCCGGACCCTGAACAATGAACCCTGAACCCTAAGAAAGGCAAACCCTAAACCCTAAACCCTAAACCCTAAACCCTAAACCCTAAACCCTAAACCCTAAACCCTAAACCCTAAACCCTAAACCCCAAACCAATCGTCATATCTGTAAAAGAAGGAGCTCCGAAGGAGTGCCTTGAAAGGACTCCTTTCAGAGAGAGGAAAGGAAGCCCTTCACAGGAGACCCACCAAAAAGACCCTTATAGCAGGCCCTTGGAGGTTTAGGGTTTTAGGGTTTAAAGATAGGTTTTAAAAGCTCCAAATTACTATACATGAAAGAAAAGGGTTTAGAGTTTAAGCCCCGTTCTTGCCACGTGGCCTCGCCGCTGAAGCGGAGGCAACCAAGAAAAAACTCCTCCAACTCCACGACACCGCCCCCGTCGACATCCAGAAGCCTTGGCAATGGTTTGTGGCTTCCTAGTGCTCCCGAAGGCTAGTTTCATGGGTCCTTGGTATGGTCCCTTCCCTTCTTAAAAGGGGTTCCCTTGAAGAATCCTTGATACTTTAAGTCGGCTTGAAGGTGCCAAAGTAAGGTTGATGCCCATGAGCCATGAGCCTAGAAGCATCGTTCAGGGGGTTTAGGGTTTGGGGTTTATTGAGGGTTTAGGGTTCATGTAGGGTTTAGGGTCTAGGGTTTAGGGCTCAGGGTTTAGGGTTTAGGTTCAAATTGACAAGGCTCAGGGCGAATAGCACCATGGAATGTGATGAACGGTGGGGCCGGGAAGGACAAGGGCCGGCTAGGGGCCATTTGCTTGAGAACCCCCTCCAAACAGATAGCATTCTTCCTGATAAGGGCAATATAGGGATTCTAATATGGGGGGGGCGGGGGGTACTAGAATCCCTACTACTTGAGCCGGAAGTAACCTAGGGAAAAAAAGGTACCCTTTTTTGTTAAGGGGATTATATAAGGGAACCCCAACCCTAACAAAAAGGAAAAAAAGAGCCTACTCCCGGTCCTAGCTAGGGAACAATCTTTCATGTGTTGGATGTTCGTAAGCAAATAGTGGCAAACCCTCTCCCCGCTACAATTGGGGTATTACGTAAGGCTCATGACTGGCGGGTTCTTCGTAGGGAATGAGGGAAGGACGGAATGAGGTACCCTATATATATATATATTTCCTTAAACGGTATCTATGGGTGGTTGTCAAAAATCATGGTCCCTTTTTGGATCCCTATTATAATGCGGCGCCTAATATTTAGGGTACCCTAAAAGGGATCACGATTTTGACAACCACCTATATGTATATATACATATATAGAGAGAGAGAGAGCATAACTTCCCTCACTCCCTACCAAGAACCAGGTGCCGCTCCCTGAGCTGAACTGCCACTTCGCCCTCTCAGCCCCCTAAACCCTTAAACCCTAAACCCTAAACCCTAAACCCTACAGTCCGATCCGGATGACGAGCTGCTTGAAGAACGCCCACGGGTCCCACACATCCAAGCCTAACGTCTCGAAGTAGTCACGAACTGCCGGGGAGGTGATTTTCTCTTCGAACCTCAGATTTAGGGTTTAGGGTTTAGGGTTTATGGTGTGGGGAGAGCAGACAGATTAAGACCAAAAATGCAATGCGTTGTAACACCGAAATTCGGGCCCTGTATATACCCTTTAAGGGATTATATTGGGTACCTCATTCCCTCATTCCCTATTAAGAACCAGCCAGGAGAGAAAGCATCTGCACGCTGTCCAGTTCTCTCTCCCTCTGTGCCATCCAGGAGGGTCTCACCCAGCAGGGAACCCTAAACCCTAACCCCTAAACCCTAAACCCCCAAACCCCTAAACCCCAAACCCCTAAACCCGAAACCCTAAACCCTAATTAAACCCCAAACCGGGGCAGGTTGGGGACTAACAATTCACCAGCCCAAGCAAAAAAGTAATGGAACTGCCGTGTGCGAAGTGGGAAGTCCTCTGACAGCACGCTGGTAGACTAACAAAACGGGCAGTTTCTTGTAGTTGCACACACAACCAGGACACCACAAAGACAACTATTCCTGGCGACTGCTTGGAACCCTAAACCCTAAACCCTAAACCCTAAACCCTAAACCCTAAACACCCAGATGGTAAAGGCCTAGCGGCATGCCGAAAGTAATGCCACCAGCCGCCCGATCACCGATCTTCTCAAACAAGGATTTCAACTTTTGGAGATGCTGCTCCTTGCCCAGGCACCCTGGGGTTAAGGGTTTAGGGTAGCGTTTAGGGTTTAGGGTTTAGGGTTTAGGGTTTTGGGTTTAAGGCTTCAAGTTTTAGGGTTTTAGGGTCCAGGGATTGGGGTGAATCTGGCTGTCGACAAGGACTGGACCCCTTGCTGTCCCACTGCCACTCTACTCGGCCTTCAGCTTAAAAAGTCATATCTAAGGAGCACCCTGAGCCCCACTTGAAGCTTCGCTGCGGCTACAAGTGCCCTAAATCAGGTGACAAAAAAGACTATCTCACGCATAAGTCTACTTTATGAAAACCCTACACCCTAAACCCTAAACCCTAAACCCTAAACCCTAAACCCTAAACCCACCTTCACGTCAACCTTAGGAACCGCCCTGCACCGGGATGTGTGGCCCCGTTGGGCAATTTCAACACATGTCGCGCACGCGACGTAAGCCCTAAACCCTAAACCCTATAAACCCTAAACCCTAAACCCAGAGAGCCCAACAATCCAGAATTCATGAATAGACCTTAAAATTGCGCAGGGATCCTTATTACTGTTAAGGTATACATTTCCTTTATTGATTTCTTATTGGGTCCTCTAGGAGCCGACTCCAGTGCCAGAAAAAAAGGAAACTTAACAGGCAACAGATGTGTTTGCACTGCCATCTTGATGCTTGACGAAAATGCACAATGTGAACAAAAGCAATGCAGTGAACCCAGTGCGAAAGCCGAATCTGTGTTTCCAAGCTTCTAAGTCCCTAAACCCTTTTAGACCTGGAATTGTCAACTAACACAAGCCCTTTCTCACACAAGCCCTAAACTCTGAACCCGAAACCCAAACCCTAAACAAACCGTTTCAGGAACACCGACGCCCTACACCCCAAACCCTAAACCCCAAACCTAAACCCTAAACCCTAAACCCTAAACCCTAAACCCTAAACCCTAAACCCTAAACCCTAAACCCTAAACCCACAGGCGCCTTATACCCTAAACCCCACACCACAGACCTGACCCCTAAACCCAAAACCCTATACCCGAAACCCTAAACCCGAAACCCTACACCCTAAACGCTAAATCCTAAACCCTAAACCCTAAACTTCCTAAAGACGCCTTGTTGTCCAGCATGTTCTGCACCACCGTGGCATGATCCTTCTGAGCTGACTCGATGGCTGCATGGCAGAAGACCTTCACTTGGGGTTTAGGGTTTAGGGTTTGGGGTTTAGGGTTTGGGGTTTAGGGTTTAGGGTTTGGGGTTTAGGGTTTAGGGTTTGGGATGCTTCAGCCGCAATACTGACAGTCCTTAGGGATTCTCATAGGGGGGTGGGGGGGGGGGGGGGGACCCACTGACTTGGCACGTAAAGAAACTTGGTCGCCCGGGAACCATTATAGCAACCCCTAACCCTAAACCCTAAACCCTAAACCCTAAACCCTAAACCCTAAACCCCTGAACCCTAAACCCTAAACCCCTACTCTTTTTTGGGTTGGTTACTTCTTGAGGGAGCCTTGAAGCAGGAAAAGTGAAAAGGGTACCACTGGGCTACCAAGGAAAGCACGTAAACAGCCCCCAAACACGAAACCCCAAACCCTAAACCCTGAACCCTAACAACAGTCCCGCTGAGATGCTGCGGTCACCACGTTCAACACCGCCAGGTATGAGAAAAGGATGAAGAACCTGAGTTTGAACAGAATCATACATGCTTTTAGGACAACAACCAGTTGAACATGCTTGTTGAATTTTAGGGTTTAGGGGGGTTAGGAGTCGGTTCTTGAAGGTTTCAGGGTTTAGGGTTGGGGGTTTAGGGCAAATCCCTACGCGCAGGCCAGGAACAGGAAGAGAGCCTCCCAAAAGCCGGACACATACGACAGGGGATTGATGACCTCCTCCCAACTCACCTGCCGTTAGGGTTTAGGGTTTAGGGTTAAGGGTTAAGGGTTTAGGGTTTAGGGTCGTGGATTCAGGGGGGGGCCCTATGAAGCTCTCATTTTCTTTGTGGGTTCCAAAGAATCACATTGGTGGACATGGCAAAGCTATGGTCCACACAGAGCTCCAAACATCTACTCCAGATCAATCTCGGTCACTCCGCCGGCAATGCTCATGAACAGCGCCATCCTGAGTTGTGTCTTTAAACCCTTTGCAATTTATACGAAATGAAAGAAAGGACCCCTTACATGAAAAGAAGGGAACAACAAAAAACTCCTTAAAAGAACAACCCAGCATCATACTTCGCACCAGGCTCCGAAAATAGCGATTGGCAGCTTCCTGGGCCACATCGGGCAACGGCGGGTTTGTCGGGTCGCTGATGTAGTCGTAAACAGCCTGAGAGAAGAGTATCGCGAAGACGTAGACGATCAAGGTTAAGAGCAGAAAGGCCCAAAAGAGGGCTTTCACCTTGGTAGCCCTTTCGGGTTGCTTACGTTAAATAAGGTAACCATGAACTCACCAAAAAAGAGAGCAAAAGGGGTACCCCTAAACCCTAAACCCTAAACCCTAAACCCTAAACCCTAAACCCTAAACCCTAAACCCTAAACCCTAAACCAAGTCGCGGTGTGCATGATCGACTGCACCAGCATCCGCAAGGCCATGATGAAGCGAAAGATGCGAATGAAGTGGGCTGTCTTCAGCACTCGTGTCAATCCTTCGTTTGGTGCTTTAAAGCCCTTTTGAAAATTATTCATGAATAGGTGCCCATAAAAAAAGGTAAAAATCATTCATGAACAGCTTCCCATAAAAAAAACAAGAAGAGCACGGCAATTCCAAAATTTGTCCCTTAAAGCACCACCGAGAGTCGAATGATGCGCATGGCTTTCAAGGTTGAGAGGCCGGTGATGCTGTCAAGGCTGTTGTCTTCTAGCATGGCCTGGAGCACATCCACAATCACATCCCAGAAAGATGTGGCCACGATGAGGGTGTCAAGAAACGCCCACTTCCAGTCCTCAGAGCAGTAGTAGCCTTAGCTGCTGAGTTCATAAGCCCCCCCAAAAGTGTACACTTTGAGTTTTGCAGAGATTATAGTATCCCAAAAAGTGTAAAGTGTACTCACTCAGCTACTAAGTAGCGACAGCGGCTGTCGGCTAGTCGCAGAAGGAGCTCGATCAGGAAGAGGAGAGAGAAGATGTAGTGGCAAGCTATGTAACCAGCTGGCCTGGCGCCTCCCCCGTCCAAGACCCATTGAACATCGAAGCCGATGAAAACCGCATTGGCCACGACGATGATTGCGTAGAAGGCATCGAAGCAGGGATGATGCACGATTTTGGATGACCACGGGATTTGCGATGCATGAATCAGCCTGGAGGATGGAAATACGGAACCAGAAATTTCGAGCAATAGACACCGTATAGGTTTTCCCGGAACCCTAAACCCTAAACCCTGCATCCTCAAAACTGATTCATTGCCCTCAGTTCCTAAACTCCTACATGTGGGGGGGGCTTCCGGTACCCTTGCCGGGGGAAGAAAAAAGGGCATTGTTTCTATTCAGGGGGACTTCAATTTTTGGGAACTACCCATCTAAACCCTGTAAGACCTAAGCCGGCCCTACTGTAAACACCCAAACCTAGATTCTATGAGGTTTAGGGTTTAGGGTTTAGGGTTTAGGGTTTAGGGTTTAGGGTTTAGGGTTTAGGGTAAAGCCCTCAACCCTGTAAACCCCACCTAAATCCTAACCCCATACCCCAAACCCGAAACCCTTAAACCCTAAACCCTTTCACCCACGGACTCGCCCCCCAGCCTGCTGTTACTGCCATGATCACCGTCAGGGCCCGGGGCGTCTGAGAACCTCCTCCGCATCGCCCGAGACTCAACATGTTCCTGAGGTTGTCGATCTGAGCGGGGTGGGACTCTGACTTTCCCTAAACCCTAAACCCTAACCCCTAACCCCTAAACCCTAAACCCTGCCCCTAAAACCCTAAGCCTAAACCCCGAACGCATCCCCCCCCCTCCCCAGAGCGGCCTCAACGATTTGAGGGGGATGTTGTCGGGAGAGCCCAGAAACCCAAAGCCAATGCCCCCTCATTTCGGGGGTTTAGGATTTAGGGTTTAGGGCTTCTGCAGCACCATCTCCGAAGAGCGAATATCGGGCGCCAGCGTGAAACATGACAGTTTATTTAGGGTTTAGGGTTTACGAAAGTAGGGGACCCTAAAATAGACCCCCCAAGTAGCAGGATTCCCGGTAGAATAAGGACCCCAATGAGGTACCCCTAGTTTCGGAACCCCCCTATTTCAGATCTTTGAGATGATGCAGTGCACATGTTGATTACTTTTAGCTTCTAGCCCCCACACCCCAGCCCTAAACCCTAAACCCTAAACCCTAAACCCTAAACCCTGAACCCTAAACCCTAAACCCTAAACCCCTCTGTCCCGGTATGCATGCAGACTACTTCATTTCCCCTGCAGCTACATCCACAAACTGGCCTGCTAGATATTCAGGTTTGGGGTTGTCCGAAAATAGGGATACCCCTCAAATACCTCAAAATACTCTAATCCTATTAAAGGAACCCCAAATAGGGTTCAGAAATTTAGGTTTAGGGTTTAGGGTTCTATTTTCGGAAACCCCTATATGGTGGTATGGCGACACAAGGTAGAGCTGCCACCCACATAGCCGCTTCTTGCAGTCAGCTTGCAGCATCGTCTCGCTTCTGCGTGTCCTATAGCTTGCAGTTTAGGGTTGAGGGTTTCAGGCCCACGCCTTGGCACGGGCAGAGACAAGACACACTCAGGGTTTAGGGTTTAGGGTTTAGGGTTTAGGGTTTAGGGTTTAGGGTTTAGGGTGTCAGCTCACCATCGAAAGAAACCTTGGCTGATGTAAACCTCTAAGTGAACAAGCTAGCGACAAGCTCGAAGTGAGCATACACACTGAAGCCTAAACCCTAAACCCTAAACCCTGAACCCTAAACCCTAAACCCTAAACCCTAAACCCTGAACCCTAAACCCTAAACCCTAAACCCCATGATATCTGATTTGGGGCCATCTAGCTTCAATCTGTGTTTCCCTGGTGCCCAGTACATACCGAGTACATGGGTTCATGATCTCTGAACCCCCGGACTCTAAACCCTAAAAAAGCTCAAAACCCCAAACCCCCTAGCCCTAAACAACCAATAAGCCCCTAAACCCCTAAACCCCTAAACTATACCATCCTACGCCCCAAACCCCCCCAAACCCTAAGCCCAGGTCAAAGGCAGGTGCCCCGCACTCGGCGGTTCATGGTACTAACTAACTGTACTTGTCACTGTACCTATAACCATGTTAGGGCAGTTAAGGGGCTTATACGTGGGTTATAAGAATACCTAAACCCTGAACCCTGAACCCTAAACCCTAAACCCTAAACCCTGTTTAGGGTTTAGGGTTATCAGGCCAGCAGCCCAGCCTGGGACAGTTACCAGAAGCTGGATCGACAATTGGATGGAGTGCGCATTGTGGTAACGTCCCCTTTGCCGAACCCTAAACCCTAAAGCCTAAACCCGAAACCCTAAACCCCAAACCCTCACGGAAGTTCCTTTCCTGAACACCAAGCCAAGTTCAGGGAGAGGGTTGGCGGCTCCTCAGCCGAATATGTTCTCAAGTGCATGGGCGACCTGGTTGCCAAGAGAGACATGGGTAGTTCGGGGTTAGGGCAGTTTAGGGTTTAGGGTGTAGGGTTTACGGCAGTTCGGGGTTGAGGGCAGTTGAGGGTTTAGGGGATATGTCGGGGAAGGCTTCGGGAGGAGATAGATACCGACGTTTTAAGGCCCCCGGAGTGAGCAGCTGCATGTGCTGGGGTTTAGTGGCTCGGTTTAGGGTTTGGGGTTTAAGGTTCAGGGTTTAGGGTTTAGGGTTTAGGGTTTAGGGTTTAGGGTTTAGGGTTGAGGGTTCTTGGGCATGCTAGGAACTATTGGCAAGTTCAGTGTTTTCACAAGACAGGGGCCAGGACGCGTTGCGGACACCGTGTTGCGCAATGATCTCACAGATACCGCACATGACAGGGGTACGATTTGTCGCAGGCATGGCATGGGGTTGTACATGCTGTGATAGTACACACAATACACAGGGCACGACTTGCTATGCACATTGGGCTGCGGGCAACTGGCACGTCTGTCACGCACAAGACAGGGGTACTCTTTGTCTCAGAGCGCGAGAGGGGGGAGAGGCGGGGGGGCGGGGTTGGGGAACCACCTCAAGCGTCTGTTTAACGTGGCACGGCATGTCACTCCCCTACCCTGAACCCTTTTCAACCAGGGATCTCTGTTCGTAAGCCCCAAACCCTAAGGACCCTGCAGACCCACAGCCTGGATGACCTTAATTCACTACATCATCCAGCTTCGAAACCCAGAACGTCCTGAATAGACCGGCGAGCTGAACAAGTCAGAGCACCAGGAGCTTTGCGGGTTCCCCATCGGTCCGGTTGATGGGCTCCCAGCTTCGCCTCCACGAGGGTTCCCAGGGCATTTTCAGGCATATGGTCTTAGTTTAGGGTTTCGGGTTTAGGGTTTAGAAATGGGGAAGTTCAGGGTTTAGGGTCTGAGTATAGAATGTAGGACCCCCGGATTTATGCGGCAGTCATGACTCTCTCTATACATTATGTGTATATATAGCAAAGCATAACCTATGCATATACACATATCTGCATGAAATCTATAACATACATACATACATACATACAGACAGACAGACATACAGACAGACAGACAGCCAGCCATATGCATGCATGCATGCATGCATGCATGCATGCACACACACACATGCAAACAAATATGCCAAGGTGCATACACAAATGACATGCATGAAACCCCATGCTCTTTGTTGATACTTGTAGGTCTTGCGGAGACGAACTATTGCCTGATCTTTAAACCCTAAACCCTAAACCCCAAACCCTATACCCTCCTACCTACACCCTACACCCTCAACCCGCCCAAGCTCTCCCCTAACAATGGTGAGACGACGACAATTTCCCCATTCCTCTGCCCCAGCTTAAACCCTAAACCCTAAGCCCTAAAACCGTGAGCCCTCCCTGCGCCTCAGGGGTCAGGCGTTTGCCCTCTTACGTGCAAAATTAGGAGGGCTTAGGGTTTATCGGGTTTATCGGGTTTATAGGCTGTGTAGGGTTTATAAGGGTTATAATGTTTAGGGTCAGAGCACTGTTATGGAATTCTCCCCCCCCCCCCCAAAAAAAAAAAAAAGTCATGTAGCTAGTGCCGAACTCCATAATCGCACTCCCAGTGTTCCTGGGTTTGAGGGTTTCCCCTAAGCCCTAAACACCCGAAACCCTAAACTTCCTAAAGCCACCAGGGGCCCCCCCCCCCCCCCCCCCTTAGTAATTTTATAAGATAACCTTAACCAGCCTAAACCCTAAACCCTAAACCTTATTGAACCTGTGCACCCTAAACATGTGCACAATTGCAGGTTCTCGACTCGAGGGGGACTATCTGGCTCGAGGCTTCTCGCGGCGCAAGTTTGCCCCTGGACCCTTTCGGTTCAGGGTTCAGGGTTCTGGGCTTAGGGTTTAATTTGTTTTTGCCACCCGCCTAGCTGACCCCCTGTGGGGTTTAGGGTTTTTAGGGTATAGGGCTTCTGCTGCATGATCTGAGGGCCGCGTGCGATCCATGCAAGAGACAAGCCCAGAACACGGGGTTCAGGGTTTAGGGCTTCGACTCGGGGAGGGGTTTATTATACTTCCCGGGGTTGAACTTTAGGGTCTAAACTACTATTTGCTTGAGAACCCCTCCCAACCGCAAAAATAAACGTCCAAATAGAATGGAATCCCCTTATTATGGGACCCCTAATAAGGGGACCCCCCCCCAAGCAAAGGGTACCCCCATTTACGGAAACCCCCCGTTTAGGAAACCAGCGCCATTTGGGGGTTTCCGAAATTAGGGGTGTCCGTATTATAAGGGAATGCTACTAGTTGGGGGTCTATATTAGGGGTCCCTAAACCCCACAACCCTAAACCCCAATTAATCCTAAACCCTAAACCCTAAACCCTAAACCCTAAACCCTAAACCCTAAACCCTAAACCCTAAACCCTAAGCCCATGCCAGGCCTTTGAAGTGCCCCGCCAGGGGGTGACTGAGTGGCGACGGTGAAGCCGGAGAATGACTCCCAAGCCTCGCAGTTTGCTGGGGTGGGCCGCGGGTTTAGGGTTTAGGGTTTAGGGTTTAGGGCTTGACATAAACCCTCGACCCTGAACCCTAAACCCTTTGTTGAACCCAGACTCAGAGCATCAGCTGGGACCGCTCAACCCTGAACCCTAAACCCCTTCTGCTGGGCCTTGTGCAGTGTCCACATCCGTCACGATCCACAATAGATGCAACCCTAAACCCTAAACCCTAAACCCTAAACCCCACTATGAACACACAGTATAGGGGCTCAGCCGTGTGTTTGGTAGCCAGCAGTCAGGAACTCACGGTATGCTTTTTATTGGGACGCCAGAAGCATTGATCATGCGGGGTTCGTATGCAGAGAGAGGCCTGCCTTTCCCTAAACCCTATAAACCCTAAACCCTAAACCCTAAACCCTGAACTGGTGGACTGTGTGTAGCCGAAAATCGTCGGCGATGGCACTGGCGACGCTCTTGGTGTCCTTTCCAGCCTCGGCACGCACAGGTTTGGGGGTTTTGGATTTAGGTCGCAGAAGCATACTGCTGCCTGGCGAGGACATGAAGTGGGACTGGTCAACATGATGGGCCCTTTCTTCTTCGCGTCAACTTGTGGGCTGTTTGGAGCCCTGAAAAATTGTGCGCATGTACACTCACCAGTACATACCCAAACCGAGCTAACTTAAGATCAAACGCACATGAAGCACTCTGCCGAAGCAGCGCCGCCCTCAAACCGATGCTCCCCTTAGAACCTTAATACAAATAATATTGGTTAATATCCTCGTGGGTTTTAGATAAACAAACATACAAAATACTCCCTTAGAACCTTATTCCAAGTAAGTGTTTAATATCCTCTTGGGTTTTATATAAACAAAAATGCAAAACAATCCCCCAGGGGGATGTAGAAACCATCCAACCGAGCGGCTGTTGTCGGAGGAGGTCTTCTTGTTGGTCAAGGCGGCGCATGAGCTGCTCATGCTGCTTCTGTAGCGTTCTCAGAAGCCTCGCTCAAGTGACGTGTTCTCTTAGTTGTCTAGTGACCTTGGGGAATTACAGGTAAACCTTTGGGATTTCATAGGGCTTAGATTGCCCCAAGAAGGTTAAAGGTTACCTACTCTACTACTAAGTCCTTCAAGAAACACTTGTGGAGATGATGCATGCTGCGTGCCCTGTATCAGCAGCAAAGTGCCTGGCCTTGTTTGTTTGGAGTGTGCGTGTGTCTTGTTTTCGTGTTGTTATAGCTTCTCTCTCTTTCTCTCCTTCTTTATTGATTTTTCTTTCGAGGGCGAGCAATAGCATAACATATGCTCAGAACATACGTCATGTGGGTAGTTCTTTTAAACGCGGGGTCCCTTTTGGGTCCTCATTGTAAGGGTGCCGTACTACATATACCCAAAGCGGACCTTAACTTAGAGAACCACTTGTCTGTCGCTACTTGTTTGGTTTAGGGTTTAGGGTTTAGGGTTTAGGGTTAAGGGTGAAGGGTTAAGGGTCAAGGGTTTAGGGTCTAGGGTTTAGGGTTCCGGGTTCAGGGTTTAGGGTTTAGGGTTAGAAAATTAGCACTCTTGTTCTCAGGGGTTTGCGTCGTTCCTCCCTTCCTCCTTCCCTCTGCCCTACACACAGCAAGGTGACATCGTGAACGCATGCGTCCGAGTACCACTAGTGTCTATTGAGGGACTCTGGCTTGAACTGAGTCCAACTTCTCATGGCACTGCTGCTGCTGCTGCTTAATTCTGATGACTGCGTTGCCAAGACTGACACCTGACAACACACACAAATCACTAGTGAGCAAGTCCTGCAATGTTGACTTGGGCTCCCATTGAATGCCGACCAGAGGCAGCTTGGTGTCACCCGTGCACTCCGACGCTTCTACAGCATCAGTTCGGGCTTCCTCACCGACAATTACTATCGGGGCCTGAATAATTTGGAACAGGGTTTAGGGGGTTAGTCTAGTATAGGTAATTACAAAGGGGCCGTAAGGGAATGGTATCAGTAGTTATTCCGACCCCTTTATGGCACCAGATGTGGGGGTTGTTCTAGATTTGGGTCTCTTTGGAGGTAGAAAAGTCTTCAGCTACCTTTAGAATCAGATTTCTTTATTAAAGAAGGGGTTTACCCAAAAAGGGAGCCCTGGCTTACAGCACCAATGTGCTAATGATGCTAATGATAAGAAAATCTCATGCCGGGAGTGCATCCTCTGCCGGCACCGGTTTAGGGTTTGGGGTTTGGGGTTTGGGGTTTAGGGTTTAGGGTTTAGGGTTTAGGGTTTAGGGTTTAGGGTTTAGGGTTCCCCAGACCCGTGTCGCTCTTCGACGCCTTTACGCGGTGAAGCTGCAAGTCCTGCCTAAAAGTTGTGATTTGTGCGTGGCCACCACCCTGACCCTGACATCTCAGCCCCTAAATCTCTATAGGTTTTAGGATTTAGGGTTTAGGGAGCGCCGAAACCACTGAAACACATGGATGTGGCATGTTCCCTTTCCTGCCTCCGAGCATGCTTCCATGGCAACGGCGGGAGGCTGTGTGGGATATGGTAGTTTCCCCCAAAAAAGCGTCGCCCTAGCTAACCAGAATCTGGACTACAGGGGGTCCCCACGCAAGGACCCCTGCAGAAAGGCAATATTCTGAAAACCCAATCTTCTTCTATCCAAGCTACACAGCAACTCCTGGAAATCGAGCAATTCGCGGACCACGCATGCAGCCAACGTCTGAGCACCGCCCCTAATGTAGGGGGCCTGAATAGTTAGAACAGGGTTTTGGGGGTTTGTTCTAGTCTAATTACTATAAGGGACCATAAGGGAACATCATTATTGGCAATTCTTCCGCCCCCCTACATTATGGTGATCGTGGCGCGAGCTTGAGATGTCGAGGGCGGGTGCTGCGCCCGAAGCATTTTCTCACTGGGCGCCTCGAACATCGTGAGGCCTCTCCACTGTCTACTCTCCTTTTTTTTTGTAACGTCGTGGCAAGCAAGCCTCCATCCTGGAACTCTGCTGAGGGATTTAGGGTTTAGGGTTTAGGGTTTATGCTTCATTCCTAACCTTGGCAATGTTGGAGGCTAAGCTTGCGGTGCAGGCTGCTTAGCAGACCCATGATGCAGGCACGTGTCATGTCGGCCTCGGTCGCTTTAGGGTTTAGGGTTTAGGGTTTAGGGTTTAGGGTTTAGGGTTTAGGGTTAACGAAAGCCGGTTCTCAAGCAGTGTTGGCCCCGGAGCAACCCGGCAAAAGGGAGGTTTGCAATGACATGGTACATACGCGACTCGAGACCACTTCAAACAAGGGGGAGCTCCCGGAAACCCAATCCTGATCCTACCCTAAGGCTCCAAACAGCCCAAAGCATGCATCATTTACAGACTTTAGACATTGTTTTTCATGAAAAAACATGATCCTACCCTGAGGCTCCGAATAGCCCAAAGTATGTATCCATTTACAGACTTCAGACACTAATGTTGGTACCTACCTCTGGAGTAGACCCAGAAAAAAAAAACAAGTATATACTTTTTAGGTATAAGTAGCTAGAATGGGAACTCAAAACCAAAAAAAGTATAAAAGAAAAGTACTCCAAAGCCCAGGGTATTATTTGTATACTTGGAGCCCTAGGGCTACAGCTCATTAGAGCAGACGCCACCCGTGAGACTGCAAAATGCGTTCGCCAAGCTTGCAAAGTTCTCCCTCATCTTCGAGAGCTCGTTTTCCTTGTGCTTGCACCCTAAACCCCAAACCCTAAACCCTAAACCCCAAACTCCAAACCCTAAAACCTAAACCCAAAAAGGTGTAAGGATTGGTGGCCAACGGAAGTTAATGGAAGTAGTAGTAGGGTGCACCATGTTCAGGATTTATGAAATATCGAAGGTCTTGGTGCACGTATTGGGATGTTCCCCCTTGTACTAACTTAGAAGGGGGTTATATAGTGAGTATTATCTTTGTTTTTTGGTGGGTTCTTCAGCTGTTAAATAGTAGTTGTTTCAGGGAGGGGGACAAAGGTCAGGCTTTATCTGGCGCAGTTGTCTTGCCCCCTGCCCAAGGTGTCTGCACGGAAAAAATCCTTCCCATCTGCAAGAATCTACCACCAAAGCAAACCAACGTGAACAAAGCCGAAAACCCTTCTTGCAAATCCCTGAATCCTTGCAACAGGCAACCCCCAAACCCTCCCACCCTAAAGGTCACAACACGAAGCCTGGCCTGCTTTAGTTTACGGGGCTTCCTTAGTTGCTGAGTTCACAAGCCCCCCCCCCCCCCCCCCCCCACCCTCTCTGCACTCGAGAAGACAAGAGTTTAGGGTTTAGGGAAGGAAACACCTTAGCCTAAATCCTGATTTGCCCAGAGCTCGGACCCTCTACACCACTGGACTCCACACCCGCAAAAAAAATAAGCCCAGTCTCCATCAATTTCTGAAATCGTCCCTGGCTTCGGATCAGCCACCTTTCGCAGATGGAGGCGCTTGTGGAAGCTGTAGTTGGTTTAGGTTTCGGGCTTGTATGTCCCTAAACCCTAAACCCTAAACCCTAAACCCTAAACCCTAAACCCTAAACCCTAAACCCTAAACCCTAAACCCTGAAGAGCACTGCAGCTCGGGTTTTGTTTTTTTGTTACAGCTGTGGGCTCTCGAAAGCTATCTACTGCACCCACAAGCCGCTACTAGCCCAAACCCTGACTCCTAATGAAACACTCCTACGTCGAATTTTCAAGTTGTAGTATAGGCAAGTATAGGCATGGGTGTATGACGTGATTGGGTTCAGGGAACTCTCTTGACCTTCTCTTACAGCAGGCTTTGAGGATCTTCGAAACCCTAAACCCTAAACCCTACGCCCTTAGCACACTGCGCTCTGGCCCTGTTGTCCTGAGGCACCCTAAACCCTAAACCCTAAACCGCCTCTGATCAGCAGCCAGCTGGCCCACCTCCATGGCTGTGGCCTGAGGGCGTGGAGTTTGTGTATTAGTATTTAGGGTTTAGGGTTTAGGGTTTAGGGTTCAGGGTTCAGGGTTCAGGGTTCAGGGTTCAGGATTCAGGGTTCAGGGTTCAGGGTTTAGGTCCGGGTGGTTCGCTTCGGTGAGGCTTTGGGTTTCTTGCCACCCACCCAGCTGACCCCTAACCTGTGCTTCAGTTTGCTACCCAAAACCCTAAACCCTAAACCCTAAACCCTAAACCCTAAAGCCTGTTTTTTCTCGTCTTGGGGTATGAGACCCCGCGCTACACAGCGTAGGGGTGCGCGGGGACATGGTGCGGGGTAAGAGTGGGAGGGTTTACAAGATTCATATCAATCTCCAACATAACCCTTCAGGAAATAACCTTCAAAGAAAAGGAGGGTCATGAGAAAATCCTTGCTTATCTTCTCCTTTTATAAACCCTTAACCCACAACCCTAAACCCTGAATCCTAAACACAAAACCCCTGGTGAAGAGGCATAGGCTTGGGGTATGTTCCTTAAACCCTAAACCCTAAACCCCAAACCCTAAACCCTAAACCCTAAACCCCAAACCCTAAACCCAATACCCTGAACACCCCTGAAAGTGGTGCTTCTGAACCATGTGGCTGCAAGTCTCCGAAGCCCAGACAAAAATCCCAGGCCCGCACAAAGCCGCAAGGGGCTTCAGCAGCACTGTTCTTTGGGGTCCTATCGGGGTTTAGGGTTTAGGGTTTGGGGTCGTAACCTTCCAAAGCCTGCTGCCAAAAAAAAGGTTTGGAGTTTAGGGCTTTGAGGTTTAGGGGGTAGGGTTTTGACGTTTAGGGTTTAGATAGGGTTTAGGGTTTAGGGTTTAGGGTTTAGGGTGTAGGGTGTAGGGTTTAGGGTTTAGGGTTTAGGGTTTAGGGTTTAGGGTTTAGGGTGTAAGGATAGACCTCCCGGAATGAGTCTAGGGGGCTTCGCCGCTGAAGCGGAGGCAGCCCATGAAGAACTCTTCCAGTTCCTGGATTGCTGCTTAGGGTTTAGGGTTTAGGGTTTAGGGTTTAGGGTTTAGGGTTTAGGGTTTAGGGTTTGGGGCTTAGGGTTTGGGGTTTAGGGTTTTAGGGTTTAGGGTTTGGGGTTTCGGGTTTAGCGCTTAGGGTTTAGGGCTTAGGGTTCAGGGTTGAGGGTTTGGGGTTTAGGGTTTCGGGTGTAGGGCTTAGGGTTTAGGAGAAGTTAAACCAAGGTAGGACATCGCCAAAAACCACAACCTGACTTAACTATTGTGTATATCCTGCACCTTGAGCCGTAAACCCTAAACCCTCAACCCCAAACCCCAAGCCCCAAACCCTAAACCGCCCGAAGCCCCCTAGTCCCTAAACCACTGGTAGATTCATGCTAGGTCGGCATTATTCTGATCCTACCGAATACAAGGGGAAATCTAAGCTGTCCCAAAATCCTCCCTAGCATGGGTTCCTGAACCCTAAACCCTAAACCCTAAACAGTTTTGAGCAACGGACTGTGGAGGCTGCCGGCAAACATGCAACTTCTCAGAAGTCAAACTATAAACCCTAAGCCCCAAGCCCCAAACCCCACACCCTAAACCTTGAACCCCGGCATGAGTTCCGGAACGATGAGTTCCGGAACAGAAGCCAAGATTCTACCACACCGCCTGCGTCGGCATCCAAGAGCCTAGGGTGTAGGGTTTTAGGGTTTAGGGCCAGGGTTTAGGGCTTAGGGGTTTAAGGGTTTATTAAGGCTTTTGGGTGTTAAAAACGTAAAAATTTAGAGCTTGAGGGTTTTGGGGTTTGAGGTTTAGGGGGTTAGGAGGGCTTTAGGGTGGGTTGTAGGGTTCCAGCGTTTTAGGGCGTTTTAGGGTTTAGGGGTTTAGGGCTTAGGGGTTTTAGGGTTTAGGGGTGTTAGGGTTTAGGGGTTTTAGGGGTTTAGGGCTTTTGGGGTTTTAGGGTTTGGGGGTTTAGGGCTTTTGGGTTTAGGGGTTTTAGGGTTTAGGGTTTCAGGGCTTTAGGGGTTTTAGGGTTGTAGGGCCTTAGGGTTTAGGGGTTTTAGGGGGTTAGGGTTTTTTAGAGCCTTTAGGTTTAGGGGTTTAGGGTATAGGGGTTTTGGGGATTTAGGGTTTTTGGGTTTAGGGTTGATGGCTGAGGGGCTTTAGGGTTTAGGGTTCAGGGCTTTAGGGCTTTAGAGCTTTGGGGTTTAGGGCGTTCAGGGCGTTGGGGGTCTTAGAGTTTAGGGTTTAGGGCTTTAGGGTTAGGGTTTTAGGGTTTGTGGGTTTTAGGTGTTTTAGGGTTGTAGGTCTTTGGGGTTTAGGGCTTTTTGGAGTTTTAGGGTTTGGGGTTTTAGGGCTTTTGGGTTTAGGGGTTTTAGGGTTTACTGTTTTAGGGCTTTAGGGGTTTTAGGGTTTAGGGGTTTTAGGGTTTAGGGGGTTTAGGGTCTTAGGGTGTTAGGGTTTAGGGGTTTTAGGGCTATAGGGTTTTTGGGTTTAGGATTTTGGGTTTAGGGGTTAAGGGTATTAGGGTTGTGGGGCTTTAGGGGGTTTAGGGCTTTAGGGTTTTTGGGTTTAGGGGCTTTAGGGTTTTTGGGTTTGGGGGTTTTAGGGCTTTAGGGGGTTTAGGGTTTAGAGGTTTTAGGGCGTCAGGGCTTTAGGGGGTTTAGGAATTTAGGATTTTTGAGGTTTAGGGTTCTAGGGTTCTAGGGTTTTAGGGCTTAGGGCTTCTGAAGCGCAGCGCCAGTCTGGAGCACCTCCTTGTGAAAATGGCCTTGAACATCTGGACCTCCTCTTTCGGGGCGTTGTAGTGTTCAAAGACTCTGATGGCGAGCTCTGGGCTCCCAACTGTCGAAAAAAACTTGCGCACATCTGCTTTGCAACCGGCCATGCAGCAGTCGGAGTAGACTTAATGGCCAGCTCAGCAGCAAGAAGGGCGTGGCCCTTGTCCGCAGAGTTTCCCTGGCACACCACCCAAAAGCTGGGGGGGGGGAAGCCACCCTGAAAACCACGCTCTCAACTGCTTTGAGAGAAGCGAACAGCCGAGTCTCCACACGGTTTTGGGGGTTTTAGGGTTGTAGGGCTTTAGGGGGTTTAGGGTTTTAGGGCTTCCTGGTTTTTGGGTTTAGGGTTGTAGGGCTTTAGGGTCTTAGGGCTTTAGGGTTTAGGGGTGTTGGGGTTTTAGGGCTTTAGGGCTTTAGGGCTTTAGGGCTTTAGGGGGTTTAGGGTTTTAGGGTTTTTGGGTTTTTGGGTTTGGGGTTTTGGGGTTTAGGGGGTTTTAGGGTTGTAGGGCTTTAGGGGTTTTAGAGGGCTTAGGGTTTTAGGGCTTTAGGGTTTAGGGGTTTTGGGAGGCTAGAAGTTGAGGATTCAGAGATTTGAGGTTTGGGGTTCTAGGGTTTTAGGGTTTGGGGTTTTAGGGCTTTAAGGTTTCATGGTTTAGGAGTTTAGGATTGTAGGGTTTCAGGAGTTTAGTAGTCTAGGCTTCAGGGTTTAGGGGTGTAGGGGTTTAGGGTGTAGAGCCCTAGGTTTCAGTCCTCACACTTGGGTGTTGGGGGTTCCTCACACTCGGGTTTTGGGGGTTGTAGGGGTTTTACGGGTTCAGGGGATGTCTCATTTCGCCTCTGGCCGAACTTTAAACTTGGAACTCTGCGTGGCATTTTGCCACCGCCAGATGAGGCAAGAGGCTTGAAGAAAGACCCTAAACCCTAAACCCTAAACCCTAAACCCTAAACCCTAAACCCTAAACCCTAAACCCTAAACCCTAAATGAGGCAAGAGGCTTGAAGAAAGACCCTGAACCCTAAACCTTAAACTCTAAATGAGGCAAGAGGCTTGAAGAAAGACCCTGAACCCTAAACCCTAAACCCTAAACTCTAAATGAGGCAAGAGGCTTGAAGAAAGCCCACGGGTCCCAGACATCTAAGCCCAGAGTCTCGAAATATTGGCGGACTGCTGGTGATCTGATCTTGTCCTCGAACCTTAGGGTTTATTGTTTAGGGTTTTAGGGTTTAGGGTTTAGGGTTTAGGGTGTAGGGTGTAGGGTGTAGGGTTTAGGGCTTAGGGTTTAGGGTTTAGCATGCCGATGCTGAAAAACATGAGGCGACATGGGTAGAAGGGTTTTAGGGTTTTGGAGTCTAGGGTTTAGGGTTGAGGGTATAAATTCTTCAGGCAGGTCTGGCAGAATAGAAGTGGTCCATATTCCAAGCCTAAACCCTGAACCCTAAACCCCAGTTCTGGGGTTGCCATGTGATTTGCTTAAGCCAAGTAAGCCATGCCCACACTAGCGCTCACACACATTCTCGGGATCAGAACGAGCCCTTGACCCCCCTAAGCCCCTGTTTGGAAGATCATGGGCACTTCTAAGTAGGGTTACAAGGACCCTGAGCATAGTTGCCCTACTTATATCCCTAGTTCTAAGTACTCATGAACCTCCAAGTCGACCCTATGCCGGCACTGTATTGGAACCCTAACCCTAAACCCTAAACCCTAAACCCTAAACCCTAAACCCCAAACCCCAAACCCTAAACCCTAAGAAGCCCTGGGCCTGGTACCAAAAGGTCCACCACCCTGCCGCCCAAGCCACGTTCGGAACGTGATCCCCCCAGCACTTTGCTCCCCGATCTGCTCAAACAGCGTTCTCAGCTTGTCGAGGTGCTGCTCCTCTGTCGGCCACGGTCGGCGGAGTTCTTTTATGCCCCAAACCCTAAACCCTAAACCCTAAACCCTGAACCCTAAACCCTAAACCCTAAACCCTAAACCCTAAACCCTAAACCCGATACTATAAAGCCTAAACCCGAAGTATGAAGGGAGGGGGAAATCTGCCCTGAGATTTTGGGGTGCGCCCTCCCATGCTGCTGCATCCATGTCAACAGCTGCACATGTAGTCAGTTGTCGTGCGCGCCGGCTTCACTTTTAACTCTGCCTGCGCATGCGAATGCCGCGTTTGGGGACTTGAAGTTCTTCTGGCCCCAGATCAGGCACATGTCAGCAGCGGATTGCGGGACGCCAGCGCAATGTTCCCCTAACCCCTGGCCCTAAACCTGATCGAGGTAGGGGAGCTTGTTAGGGATCCGTACTTGACATTTTGGTTCGGCTCATGGCGGATACGAAGCCGGGGAAAGCTCTACACCAAGAGCCTGCATTTTTCACTTCAGGGTTTAGGGTTTGGGGTTTATAGGGATTGGGGATTACAGTTTATAGGGTTTCGGGTAGGGACCATATCTTGGCGCTATGTGGGGGTTTACGAAAAAGAAGGGGCCCTAAATATAGACCCCCAAATAGGGTTCCCTTATAATAAGGACCCCAACAAGGTACCCCTAATATCGTAAGCCCCCATGTAGAAAGCAGCATGAAGTATCCTCATTACCGTGGCTTCGTTCAAGTTCATTAACAAGCACCCAACATAGAACCAAAAGCGCACGCCAGAGTATGCTATTTGCCACCCTCCTAGCCACCCACTGCGGTCTTGGGCTAGGGTTTAGGGTTTAGGGTTTAGGGTTTAGGGTTTAGGGTTTAGGGTTTAGGGTTTAGGGTTTAGGGTTTAGGGTTTAGGGTTTAGGGTTTAGGGTTTAGGGTTTAGGGTTCAGGGTTTTCGGGATGAGCTTCCATCGGAAGTTGGCAAGCTTTTTGTTGGTAGGAGTAGAGGAATGAGGCAAAACCCGACTTGTGAGTGTACGAACCAAAGAATCTAATTTCTGGATGATCGTTTGGGTTTAGATGACGTAAAAAAACCTGGGGCCTGTAACTATTATACGTCAGCTAGAGAGAGCTTCGTAAATTGAAAACCTACAGGGGATGCTTGTACGATATCAGATTCTTGTTTCAGGGAATCTGGTAATCCCTTCCCCCTAATACTAAAACCCCCCTAAATTTAAATATTATTTTTGCCGGGCCCTGCCGGCACCCAGCCCAATACTAAACCTGTTTGGGATTTAGGGGGGGAGGGGTTCAGGGCCTTCGCCCTTGAGTTGAGCCATTAGGGGTTTCGGAATTCAGGTTTTAGGATTTAGACCCCCCCTAATTTTAAATATTTTTCGGGCCCAGGCGAATTTCAGAATTAGGGAGGGGGGGGGGGGGGGGGGGGGGTTTTAGTATTAGGGGGAAGGGATTAGTCCCGAAACCCTAAAGCACCAAAACGTGTAAACCCAAGACCTAAACCCTAAACAATACACTCTATACACCCTAAACCCCAAACCCCAAACCCCGAACCCCAAACCCCAAACCCTAAACCCTAAACCCTAAACCCTAGCCCTAAACCCTAAACCCCCAAAACACGCCTTGTTGTCCAGCAGGTTCTGCACCACCGTCGCATGATCGCCCTGCGCCGACTCGATGGCTGACTGGCAGAAGACCTTCACTTGGGGTTTAGGGTTTAGGGTTTAGGGTTTAGGGTTTAGGGTTTAGGGTTTAGGGTTTAGGGTTTGGGGTTTAGAGTTTAGAGTTTAGGGAGGATGTTCTACTACCATTTGCTTCAGAGCCCCCCCAATAAAATGAACAATGATCTTCCGTACTGTAAGTGTAGGATAAGGAATTGTGTCCTTTATTTTTTGGGGGGCTCTTCAGCAAATAGTAGTGCTGGACTATGACGAATGCCTCACCCCTCCCCCGGAGCAAAACGCCACTTTGCAAGCTGGGAAAAGCAAGTAACAAATGCTTGGTTGGTTTAGGGCCTAGAGTCCAGGGTATATGGTCTATAGGGTTGAGGGTTATTGCTAATGAAGACACATTTTCCTCGTACTCTTGCACGTGCAGAGGGGCAGTCGCCGGGGGTGCAGTTTTAGGGGTTACAAACACACAGGCTCTCTCTCTCTGCCTCTCTCGCCCTCTGTCTCTCTCTGTCTCTCTTTCTCGCCTCTCGTTCTCTCCCTCTCTCGCTCTCGCTCGCTCGCGCGCTCTCACGCTCGCTCTCACTCTCGCTCGCGCACGTGCCCTACTTGCAGCCCGGCTTATGCGTACCTGTCAACCCGGCTTATGCGTAACTGTCAACCAGACTGGTACCTGGGGGGATAGTGAGGGTACTGACTCCTTAGATTGCAAGCGGATCCGAATGTGACTTAAGACTCTTCATCATTGCTATAGAGGGCCGTTGGAGTCTCTGGGTATAGACGACTATGGCCACCGTTGGCCTCTACGGAAATGGCTTGTAAGCAGGATTATCGTGCGAAGCTACTCGGACTCGCACATCCTCTAGCACAATTAAGTATTGTCAACAATGTTTGGCACAAAGGCACGCAATCCTCAGACAACTGATCAAGCGATATATTGTAGTAACTACACGACTAGCCGTTTTTTGAAATGAGTCGCATGCGGGAGCTGCTACAGTATCAGAGCGGGTCTGATCGAAACCGAACATGAACCCTTGCACCGCCGAGCAGCCGCTGTAACCACGTTCAAGACGGCCAGATATGAGAAGGCAATGAAGAAGAGAAAGCAACCTGGCGTACTATTAAAAATAATCATTCTTGTTCCTTATATTGGGCTTAAGTATTCATAAAAATGTAACATGGTTTTCAACAGTGACCCAGCAACCTTCCCAAAAGCCTGAGACGTACATCAGGGGGTCGATGACCTCCTCCCAACTCACCCCGCCAGTGATGCTCATGAACAAGGCGATCATGCTTCCTTGGGGGGGAAACCAACCTTATAAAATTCGGGGGATATCTACCCCACACTATATACTATCATTCCTATTAAGGAAAAATGGACCTAAAACCCTTTGAGGCCTTTGAGGGCTCATTTTGGTCCCCAAGCTTCTGATGAGGGTGCCGAAGTATCGCACAGCTGCTTCCTGTGCCTCTTCTGGCAAAGCTGGATTTGCCGGGTCGCTGACGTAATCGTAAACTGCCTGCGAAAAAAGTATGGCGAAGACGTAGACAATCAGGCCCAAGAGGAGCAAGGCCCAAAACAGAGCTTTCACGGTGTGTAGGATCGACTGCACCAGCATCCGTAAGGCCATGATGAACCGAAAGATGCGAATGAAGTGCGCCGTCTTCAGTACTCGGGTCAGTCGAACGATGCCTAGACCCGGGAGCAACCTAGGAATAAAAAAGGGTACCCTTTCTTGGCTTTAAGGGGACATTTAAGGGAACCCCCCCAACCCTAAACCCTAAACCCTAAACCCTAAACCCTAAACCCTAAACCCTAAACCCTAAACCCTAAACCCCTAAACCCTAAACCCTAAACCCTAAACCCAATAAAAGGAAGAAAGGGCCTACTCCTGGTCCTAGGTGCGCATGGCTTTCAAGGTTGAGAGTCCGGAGATGCTGTCCCAACGATCCTTGGCTGACTTCTGAACCCCTCCTAAAAGTTTAACTTTCAGGCTTCTTATAGTAGCTTCTACAAAAACCAAAAAGGTAAAGGGTTCTAACCCTAAACCCTAAACCCTAAACCCTAAACCCTAAACCCTAAACCCTAAACCCTAAACCCTAAACCCTAAACCCGCCAGAAGAAAGCCAAGGATCATCTTGCAACAGGGCCTCTGCCACCTCAACGAAGATGTCCCACCAGGACGTTGCCACGATGAGTGTATCCAGGAGCGCCCACCCCCAATCCTTAGGGGACGACGTGAACCCCTGACGGGTTTAGGGTTTAGGGTTTAGGGTTTAGGGTTTAGGGTTTAGGGTTTAGGGTTTAGGGTTTAGGGTTTGGGGGGGGGGGGGGGGGTCATGTACCGCATACTACTCTAACTCCTATTAAGGTTGTATGGGCCCTAAACCCTTTTTAGGGTTCATTAAATGGCCCCCACTATAATTCTATTGAGGTAATATGGGCCCTAAACCCTTTTGGGATTCATTAGTGGGTCCATTAGTCAAAGCCTAAAGCCTAAACCCTAAACCCTAAAGAATTAGTGGGTCCCCAAGGGTCGTCCGAGCAGTAGTAGCGGCAGCGGCTGGCAGCGAGTCGCAGGATGAGTTCAGCCAGGAAAAACACCTTGGGTGGCCCCAAGAGTGCCCATATGATGGGTTTGGGGTTTAGGGTTTGGGGTTTAGGGTTTGGGGTTTGAGGTTTGGGGTTTGGGGTTTAGGGTTTAGGGGTACACTTTCTTGAGGGCTTGGCTGTTTGATAAGGGAACCTTGAGCCAACATAAAGAAACAAGCAAAAACGGACAAAAAAAAAAGAGAGAGGTACTTCTGCGCTACCCAGAGGCTGAAAACGTGTAGTGGCAAACTGTGTAGCTCACAGGCCTGGCCCCTCCACCGTCTAGAACCCACTGGATATCAAAGCCTTGGTAGCCCAGTTCGGGTTTAGGGTTTAGGGTTTAGGGTTTAGGGTTTAGGGTTTAGGGATAGCCACTTCATAAGGGAACCTTGAACCCCCCAAAAAGGGAAAAGGGCACCACTGGGCTATCAAGAAGCCGATGTAGATGGCATTGGCAAGGACGATGACCGCGAAGAAGATATCGAAGGCCGGGTGGTGAACGATCCGGGTTGACAATGGAGCCTTCACACCCTCGAGCCGCCTTGTCTGGAGGCCAAAGAGTGTAGGTAGGGTTTAGGGTTTAGGGTTTAGGGTTTAGGGTTGAGGGTTGAGGGTTCAGGGTTCTAGGCCTCAAGGATTCTCCGTGGTGTCTTGGGCATGTGTGGGTGGGCAAATAGCTCGTAGAAAGACGAATCGGAACCGTAAGTGCCCAGTTGGAGTTGGACTTGCCTACGAGCGCGCCAAGACCAGGTGGTGAAAGCCCCTAAACCCTACAGATAAACCCTATAAACCCTAAACCCCTGTCTATATATGTATAATATATATATATATATCATATATCATATTATATATATATAAACCCAAGAAACCCTTAACCCTAAATAAACGCAAGATTAACCCCTATACATAAACTACATAAACACTAAACAACTCCAACTAAATCTTGGGTCGAGGGAGGGGGGGGTGGCGAGAGCTTCAGGACTTCATGGTTCTTGGGGCTTGAGGGTTCCGGGCAAATCCAAGGCAAACGGTTTAAGGTTCAGGATTTAGGGTTTAAGGTTTAGGGTTCATAAGGGCTTAGTGGTTCCGGGTGTCAGGTTTCCGGTTTATAAGGGCTTCGGGTTTAGGTTTTAGGGTATGCCACCAGGACCCGAGCCCTTAAAACCGCAATCCCTGCAAGGATTCCCCACCCCCACCACTCCTCCTCGAAGCCTGAACTGCTCAAACGCCCAAACCCTAAACCCCAACCCTAAACCCTAAACCCTAAACCCTAAACCCTAAACCCTAAACCCTAAACCCTAAACCCTAAACCCTAAACCCTAAAGGGATTGAAATGCTAAGATAGCCTGCTCAAGGGACTCTGCCTTGGACCCCCAAGGCGGCACCCGTGGGTTTAGGGACCCTTTCGAAAGGTACTCTAAGGGATAGAGTTTAGGGTTTAGGGTTTAGGGTTTAGGATTTAGGGTTTAGGGTTTGGGGTTTGGGGTTTGGGGTTCAGGGCTTAGGGTTTCCCCATATTGGAAGTATATTCTGATGGGATTTTTTAGAGCCCTGATCTGAGTTGGAGGGTAGCCCCCCAAAACCTACAGCACAAAGCCAGAACAAAGGCCTGAACTAAGGTAATGGGGGATTGGTAGGGTTTCGTCTAGGGTGTAGTACGGCTTACAAACCTTAAAGCCCTCAAACGCAAAACCCCTCGAACTCTGAAACCCTCAAACCCTCAGGCCTGGTATGGGAGCAATGCTCAGTGGTCTTCTGCTGGTCCTTGGTGTTGAGGGGGGTAGGGCCTGGTCTGGGGTTTAGGTTTCTACGAATCCTTTGAAGCCTCTTAAGCATGCTTCTGAAGGTACGTATAGGGGCCCTTCGGGGCTGTCTTCAGGTTTGCGTGGCTGCGCTTCGGGGCTGGAGTATATGCGCAGCGCCCGGCGGACCTTGACGTTCTTCTTAAGAATGAGGCGTATAGGGCCTCTTACCGTTCCTTCATAATCTCCAAAACATGTTTTCAAACATGTTTCTGAAGGTATAGGGCTTAGATATATTGGCGTTCCTTCAGAATCTCCGAGGTTCGGAGCGTCTAGGGTATCAGGGAACAATATCCCTGGCACTAATGACACATGTTTAGGCTTATATATGGCGTAGGAGAGGCTCCATGGCTTTCTAAAGTCAATGGCTCCAAGAATCCTCGGAAGATGGTTTAGGGATTGGGGTCCTTTAGCCTAAACCCTAAATCCTAAATCCTAAATCCTAAACCCTCAACCCTCAACTCCTAACTCCTAACTCCTAACTCCTAAACCCTAAACCCCAAACCCTAAACCCTAAACCCTAAACCCTAAACCCTAAACCCTAAACCCTAAACCCTAAACCCTAAACCCTAAACCCTAAACCCTAAACCCTAAACCCTAAACCCAAGCTTAGGGTCACCCACCAACCATGGTCGCCCAAGAAAGCTGCGAGAAAAAAAAGGGCCATCTCCTTCTGGGTTTGCAAGGAGGTCCTAAACTAAAAACTCATGGGTTCGCCGACTACCCCTCTAGGGCTTAGGGTTTAAGGTTTAGGGCTACTACGCCCCCCTCTATACTGCCCCCCCCCCTAGGTTCCCCCCTTAAATCTCCTTAATTCTGCTTAATTATCCCTAAGTAGCCTTAACTATGGGGAGGAACCCAGGGGGGTAGTAGAGAGGGGGGTAGTAGGGCCACCCATGAACCCAACACCCTACACCCCAACAAGGGTACTACTAAGGGCATCCTAGCAAAAGATCACAAGGACCAACCCTTAAGAAAGAAACACATGCCCTATAACACAGGGGTGGTTCTTTCAACTTGTCCCTTGTGGGGTTCCTTTTATAGGGTGGTGTACTATGTAGGAACCCAGAAAGGGAACCAAATTAGAACTGGCCCTAAACCCTAACCCCTAAACCCAATTAGAGACCTACCCATATATGCCAATGACTTTCTGAGGGTCAGAAAATCGCCTTCGAATCGTCACGGAGTCGATGTAGTCCTGACTGAGACTGGAATATCCGTCTTTGGGATTTTTTTTGCCTCGCACCTATAGCTGAACGAAAGTCCACATGGCACATTTGAGGGTTTAGGGCGTGAAGGGGTTCAGGGGGCTTGCAGGGCCTCTGGGAATAAGATGGGTTTAGGGTTTAGGGTTTAGGGGGGGTTGTAGAGGGTTAGGGATTTGAAGCATGTTTGTATGCATGCGAGATGGGACCGGTATCCAGAAGAAGTCTTGCACAGATTTTCTGGGAAAGCCACATGAACAGAAAACATGTCACAACTTGTGCCCAGGTAGGGCATGAACCCCTAAACCCCAAAACCGATAAACTCTAAACCCTGCACGCAAAACCCTCAACCCTGCAAACCCTGAACCCTGCAAACCCTGAACCCTGAACCCTAAACCCTAAACCCTAAACCCTAAACCCTAACTGAGCCCCGCTTGCAATCAGTGGTCAGCGTCACTTCGGAGCTGCGTGTCCTCGCTTGCCGGAAGTCTGAAAGGACTCCGGATCTAAGGGAACTTACATGGCCCCTTACCTAGGGTTTAGGGTTTAGGGTTTAGGGTTTAGGGTTTAGGGTTTAGGGTTTGGGGCTACATGGTCCCTTACTTGTCAATTTCTTAACGGGTTCTGAGGATGGGCCTTTGAGTTGTACAGGGTATATCAGGGGCATAGAAGGGTTCCCCAATAAGTGGGCCACAACAAGGGACCATGCAACTACCCCAAGAAACCCTAAACCCTAAACCCTAAACCCTAAACCCTAAACCCTAAACCCTAAACCCTAAACCCCAAACCCTAAACCCTAAACCCTACTTCGGGTTTTGCGGCGCGACTCTTGCAGAACTGCAGGGCTTCTCCAAAAGATTGAGAGTATGTGATGATTTTTGGGTTCATGCCTTCGTTTTCCCACCGAAGAATGCGAAGAATCAAGTGGCCTTGCACTGCTGCTGCAATGACCGGTTTGCGAACTAAACCCTAAACCCTAAACCCTAAAACCTAAACCCTGAACCCTAAACCCCAAAAGTCCCTCAGCCCAAAAGCCCTTCTTTCAACAGGCTTCACCTCCGCCAGGCCCTAAGGTGCAGTCAGTCTGTGACAGACTCACAAGAGCAAGAGCACTCCCGAGCGCAGGTGAACAGGGAGCATTGACTCCAGATAGATAGATGTGTATACATAATAGGTATATATATATACAGATATGTATATATATATATATATAAGTATATATATATATATTTATAGCAAGCCCCTATCAACCCTAACCCTAACCCTGCAGGTCCTGAATCCTAAACCCTGAACTCATCACTGTCCTCCTCGGTGTAGGAGCGCAGAGTTACCTGCACAGCGTCCTTGTGTCCCCGTGATGCTGCTGTAGCAGACAGTGCCGCAGATGCGGCTGCATCTGAGTCAAAGGGTCAGGTACTCTTTAAGGTTCAGGGTTTAGGGTTTAGGGTTTAGGGTTTAGGGAAGACTTGGGCCTAGAGCGGGTACTATTGTAGTCCGTCGTCAGTGAAAGTACCTACTACGTTGATACTTAAAAAGCCCTCCCTAGACCCTGAACCCTAAAACCCTCTGAATCCCTAAAACCAAAACTTAGTCCATAAACCGACCCCATCTCCTGAACCCGTTTGCTCAAAACCTCGTGCGAACGCTTCGATGGCTTTATCCTCGAGCTCTTCGCCCCAAGTTCCCTAAACCTTCTAAGCTTCCGAAATCCCAAAAGCCCTAATCCCTGTAATTACTGTTAATTCTTGCAACTCGAAACATGTGTTGGGGCCTACGCACGCTGCGGTCGTGCACTTGGGTTTGAGGAGGGCTTCAGGGTTTGGGGTTTTGGGTTGATGGTTTAGAGGGCTTATGAATCTCAGGGTAGTTACATGGTCTCTTGATATGGACCCTTAAAAGGGGACCCCTTACATACCCCAAAACCCCATGCATCGGAACCCTTTAAAGGAGGCAAGGGACCAAATTAAGGGTTTAGGGTTTAGGGTTTAGGGTTTAGGGCCCATGAAACTACCCCGAGAATGAATAATAATGAACTTAACGATGGGGCTGGCCGTTTCACGCTCGTAGACCGTGTATCGAAAGCATCCGGGGCTCAAGATTTTAAACCCGAAGCCCTAAACCCTAAACCCTAAACCCAAAACCCTAAACCCTAAACCCGAAGCCCTACCTGGGACATAACGGGCACCTTCGCCTGCAGTCTCAAACGCGCAGAGACCTGGACCTTGCACCCCTAAACCCTAAACCCTAAACCCTAAACCCTAAACCCTAAACCCTAAACCCTAAACCCTAAACCCTAAACCTTGGGCCGAGCTTCTCAATGCATCGAAGGACTTCGGACTTAGCACCGGAGGTGTTTCCACCACGGAAGGAGTCACCATGGATGGCTCCATCCTCGGATCTAAAGGGTTTAGGGTTTAGGGTTTAGGGTTTAGGGTTTAGGGTTTCGGGTTTCGGGTTTCAGTTTTAGGGCTCCAGCCTCGGATCTAAGAAGCAGCAGATGCTGCCTTCAAGACGGCTTAGGGCTTTGGAGTTTGGAAGTTAAGGGTGTAGGGTTTAGGGTTTAGGGGAAGGCAGTAGGGATACCCTGTATTCCTAATTCAACCCCATAATCCATGCTTTGGAGGTTTAGGCCAAAGCGTTTAGGGTTTTGGGTTTAGGGCCATGTCTAAGCACACCCTTAGACTCCCACCAAGGTGGTCATACTTCCTGAGTCAATGCCCCCCTAAACCCTAAACCCTAAACCCGGCTTGCTTGTGCACTTCTCCTGCCTTCCCATCTCTCGCAAGAGTCCAAGAGTCGGAGTTTGGGGGCTTAGCCGCTTCAACCTCCCATAATTTTCGCCTATGGGTCGGGAAGGTTATAGAAAAAATGGGGTCGCTTTGTTCATGGTGTTCTTCCTTCTTGCTTTTTTTTGGGGGCGGGGGCGTGGTGCTTTGATTTCTTAGGGAACCCATAAACCCGACAAACCCCTTCCAACCCTACAAGCACTACAAACCCCTTCCAACCTGAATCTTCAAGGTCCTGCCCCCAGGGGCCCCGAGGCTCCGATCAACCCTAGGATGGCCCGCGGTTTAGGGTTTAGGGTTTAGGGTTTAGGGTTTCGGAAACATATTCCTGGAGATGATCCTCTTAAACCCAAATAAGGGAAAATATCGAATGCCCCAGGGCACTGCCCCTAGAACCTCAGCCGGGCAACGTTGACTGACTCAGAAGCAGGTCTTGGCGGTCCAAGCGTTGGATGAGGAGCTCGTGATGGTGCTTCATGGTTCCAAGCAGCCTGGGTCTCTCAGGGAAGGCTTCTTACTCTTGACATTGGGGTAGTTCGCGAAATTCGGGTCCCTTTTGGATCCCCTATATAGTAGGGCACCCCTAAACCCTAAACCCTAAACCCTAAACCCTAAACCCTAAACCCTAGACCCTAAAGGGACCCTATTTTAAATAACCACCCATGTTGCTGGCGGCTCAGGCGCAGCAAGGTGTCTGGGTGGACAGCAGCCCTCTTCTCATCGTCTGTGATGTTGGATGGCGAAGCCTTTTAGGGTTTAGGGTTTAGGGTTAGGGTTTAGGGTTTGGGGTTTAGGGTTTAGGGTTTAGGGTTTAGGGTTTAGGGTTTAGGGTTCGGGATTTAGGATTTAGGATTCAGGGTTTAGGGTTTAGGGTTTAGGGTTTGGCGTTTGGGATTTAGGGTTTAGGGCTGACTCATCGCGTCACGCAAGGGAGCAACATTTGAGCAAGTGTACTGGAGAACAGGGCACCGATGCCTTCACTGCCAAGATGGGGCTGCGGTTTAGGGTTAGGGTTTAGGGTTAGGGCGTAGGGTTTAGGGTTTAGGGCTTAGGGCTTAGGGTTTAGGGTTTAGGGTTTAGGGTTTAGCGTTTAGGGTTTAGGGTTTAGGGTTTAGGGTTTAGGGTACGAGAGATGCACCAATCAACTGGACAAGCTACAGGCTGCAACAACAAAACTTCAACCTCTGGTTGCCGCAGAAGACATGAACACGACATCTCTGAAAATGATCATCGATCTTGACCTGCGCCCCTAAACCCTAAACCCTAAAGTGAACGACTGGTCCTCCACCTGAATCTGCGTCTCAAAAGCTCGGAAGTGTTCCAAGCTACCGGTATGCTAAGCCGGTTTAGGGTTTAGGGTTTAGGGTTTAGGGGCCCCCCCCACCCACTCCGCCCCGAAACTTGCGCATCTAGGGGCCGCCTAGGTCATAAGAATGGGCCGCTGCCTAGGCTACATAGGGGGATGGTATTGGTTGTGTGTGTGTATGTACATAACCTGCGTAAGGGGAAACTCCTTAACCCTAAACCCTTAACCCTAAACCCTAAACCCTTGGTATGGGCAAGTACTTCGGCTCCCAACAGCGCGCTCGCTTATCCTTCCGACCTGCCTCCAGAGCCACCATTGCAACTCTCCGCAGATGGTCTGATGCTGATCCTAAACTGTAAACCCTAAACCCTAAAAACCCTAAAGCGTAAACCCTAAACCCTACCGGTCGGCGTAAGTAGGCGAGATCCCTACTTCCCTGGGCTGATGCTGATACATGGCTGACAAGCCTTCGTTTGGCACTGTTGCAAAGCAAGTCTCACTTGAGTCCCAGCTGGAGCAGGCTTTCTAAGTACCCTAGTTGCTTGGTACAAAAGCCCTAAACCCTAAATCCAAAGCCCTGAACCTAAACCCGAAACCCTAATTCTAAGCACTTCTAACCAGAGATGCCCGACTTACTTCAGGCCATGAACCCCAAGAACGTGACAGGCACATGCATCAAGCAGACCGCGCAGGAGCCCACATCTGCAAAAGATCAAAAGATGAAAGAGAGTTTGGGTTTAGGGTTAAGGGTTTAGGGTTTTGGGTTTTGGGCTTGGTGGGGGGGTGGGGGGGGGGGGGGGGGGGGGGGGGGGGGGGGCCGCTGTTGTGGAGTGCCCGTTTTGGGAGTTTAGCCTACAATTACTTGGGGATGTCAAGGGCCCTACAAGTTTCTTAGGGTAGTTACATGGTCCCTTAGTATGCGGCTTAAAAGGGAACCCCGTATACACCCCCTACAGACCCAATGCAAATCAAGGGCCCCTACATCAGAACCCTTTAAAGAGGGTAAGGGACCACATTAAGTGCCCATGAATCTACCCTCAGAAAGTTTGGGAACTACCCTTCCCTAAACCCTAAACCCTAAACCCTAAACCCTAAACCCTAAACCCTAAACCCGGGCTGAGGTATGTCGGGACGGAGTTGGATGCCTTCTGCTCATCCGTGTTTTAGTGAGATATGTACTATTCGTGATTTCTATTTCTTACTACCTATGTTCATCTTAGTTTATGTAGTTGCATGTTTTGTTTAAAATTTCCTTTAGTTAGCTGCCCATTCTTACTATTTGTTTTTGGAGGGGGGGTGCGGCGATGGGCCAACAACGAGGACACAATTTTGACAAGAGGCTTGGTTCGACCTTCTTCCACTGCATGTGATGCACAAAGCCACAAAGCACTGCCATGTGCACGCTGTTCAGCGCGCTCAGCGGTGAAACGGAGGACGAGCATCTTGCGCATCTTGGGTCTGCTTGGCAGACATGAATTTAGGGTTTAGGGGTTTAGGGTTCGGGTTTAAGGCCCTTCCGTTGATGAAGAAACTAAGAACCAAGGCCCACCAGGCTTTGCTGCTTGCTACAATTTTTTAAAGACATCAAGCCGCAGATCCTGAACATCAACCGTACCTGGACCTAATTTCGGGCCGAGGCCGCTCCCACGTTGGGGGGCGGCGCTTAAGCCCTTCGACCTCGATGGCGCAAGCCGACCCAGATCGCTCGCCCGCCTCCTACAGCATGGGGGTCGGTAGCGCCTGGGCCCTGTACTGGAGCACGTTTTTCGGGACCAGTACTGGTCTTACAATTTTCAGGGTGGGTACCCCCAGGGCCCCAGCCCAGGGGTCCCGGACCCCTCGCGGCAGCGTGCCCAAGCACAAGGGCACGCTAAGGCTGGGTACTCAAAAAAGCTGCTTGGGCCCTTCTGGCCCTTTAGCCCCTAAGCTTCCTGCCTGTGGCTTTTTTTGTGAACCTGAACCAGGCTGGCGACCACCGTGACGGAATGGAGAAGTTTGGAAAGTAAGCAGTTGGCTTGAGTTTAGGCCTAAACCCTAAAAAGAATAGGTTTGGGTGGCTTTGCCTCCTCGGACGGCGTGGGGTGGGAGAAAAATGTTAGATGGCCTTCCGCAATCGGGCCAAAGCTGCTCTTCGCGACTCTTCCAAAACCTAA